GGTGTAAGACAAAATGTCAATTTTATCAGCAATAGGTAAATGAAATAGGCATATTTACCGACAAATACTCCAGTTCGTGTGGTATAATTACATCATATATTTGACCTTAACAGAAACAGACGAAATGATTGTCAAATATAAAAGCAAAAAGGGCTCTGTACGTGGAGCTGAAAAGTTCAATTCTAACGCAAAACGGAAGCTTGTGACAAAAAGGCTCGGATTGAACTGTTCTTTGTAAAAGGTGAGGTGCTTAGCTCTAAGTAGAATTTCAAACTTTGCGAAAAGTCTCTGTGAACATTTGCATAGAAGTGTTTCAAGATTTCGCCATTGTTTCAGTTTAGCGATTTTAAAAATTGACTGCTTATAATTCTGGTTAAAGACAAAGATCCCGAAAACCGCAAACCAAAAGCTTTCTAAGTAATACGTCCCAGCGAAAAATGTTCTTCTGTAAAATATGTAGAGCTAACAGATCTCCCGTTGATAAAATATCTTATCAATTGTACAATTTAGAACATTACTAGCGGCCTCATTAAAAGTAAGTTTGACGCTGATAAGCAAGTGTTTGGATACTGAAAAATTCTATAGCGTCATTTAATGAATAAACAAAGTAATTCCTGGTAGCAACACTAAAGAGCTTTAGCCTTTCTTTGTGGTGTTCATAAACTATCTTTGTTATGTAGATTTTGGTGTTATTTAGATTACGCCAGTCTCATTTGTAATTAACACCATCGTGAAATTGAAAAGGAAAATGCGTTTCCTTCACATGTAGTTGAACGAGACACTTGGCAAAAATCCTACTCGGAAAGTGTGACAATGAAAAGGTCGGATTGTGTTGGGAAGAAGGCCAACCCTTGCACAATTTCAAACGTGTTTTCAGACTTTTGGTAAACACGCTAAATTGTATATAAATCATTTTCAATGACTGATAATAATTCTACCAACAAAAATGGAAAGGAAGAGAAACTTTTACAGGAAAACTGCTGCGGCGGAAAACGTTCAAAAACTTGAGGTAGGGTGGCGTTTTAAATGATGCTGTGTCGTCGCGGTAGATGCCTTCAAAAATCATGTCACGAGAATAGTCGCAGTTTTTTTTTTGTTGTTGTTTTTTTTTTTTGCTGTTGTTTTAATAACAAATCCAAAACGTCCATGATGACGATTTTAAGTTCCTCAAACAAAGGCTCAAATGAGTAGTTTGACACGGCGATTTCTGACTGATGAAAATTACGAAATATTGTCAATGCAGCTCGGAAAAGTGTTCGGGGATCATGGAAATTTCTCGATAAAATTTGCTGATTATTTAAATCAGGCTGTATTATTTTTCCCTCAGGCTAAATAGTCAAATGGCAAAAGATCTTTCATATCATCAAGGAAAATAAGATTTTTCAATGTAAAAATTAAATGATAAAATATTTCTGAGTTTCAGTCAAGTGCACAAGGTTGTGAAGTTTATTCGCTGTGGTTTCCAGCTTGAGCCGGGCACAAAATACCAAAGACCTTTTATAGTATCATAAAATTTTTTTAGAAACGCGACTCGATGACTCAGTTAATTTGTCAGTGTTTTGCTACAATAATTAAGTCATACAACGACAAAATGCAAATTTTTAGAGTAATTTGCAGTCATAGATTACAAACCACGTCAAATTGTATCACAAAACACCAATTCGTATCAGATATCTACGAGCATTTCCAGTTTTAATCATCTCCAAAACAACAGTTTTAAATGATTTTCCTAATTCATTGATGGTGTATCTGTGCCGATCTGTTAAGTATTAAATGAATAATTTTTTTATTGGAGAAACGTTTAACATGACGTGTTACACCGAAAACTTGCTTGACCAATTATTTACTGTAAATTCTTTCAATTTGTCCGTTTTACTGGATTAAGCGGGGCCAGAAATTATCTTCTAAAACTTTCAACTTCGTAGTGAACCAAGATTTTCCTCTTAATTGAGTCATAACATGCCATGAATCGACCTAGAAGCATTTTTCAAATGTGCTCTCCATCCCATCTATTGTACATTCTGTTTTCGAAAAAATAACAGTGGTGCGGTTAATTGCAAATCATATCCTCTTTTGTTTACCTAAGTCGCAGTGTAAGTTTGTGTCAAACTCCCTCACAAAACAACGTGTGTAACGCTCTCAGGGAGATTTGGTTGTTCGTTTAAAACCTGCGTCGTAAGACTGAGGAAGTTATACATAGGCACCGTTGAGTTAACTATGGGAGGTCAATATTACGAGATTACCATCACAACGATAAGACTTGTTCAAATCAAAGAACACTGACACCCGTTGTAAGCGGAGACTATTGCCGGCTCCCGATTGCATGTAAGTTCGTGTACTTTAGAAGCAGACCGTCGGGAAACCTAGAAAAATCATTGTTGGTTTTACAAACAGGTGTGTCCCATGACAACGCTGTGCCATTTGAAAGTAAAATAAACGGAGTAATTCAATTTTTGTGGCATCCCTGTGTCTTCGTTGCCAAACTGGCAAACGAATACATGTGAAGGGACGATAGGCGTGATACGCAGTCTTGTTACCTAAACGTGGCTTTACTCTGAACTCTGAATACATAGATAGCATCCCTCGAGCACTGCAAGAGGGACTGTTATCACCAACAAAAAAAAAGCATGATCCTATTGCATCACTGTGGTGCTAATTTCCTCTCGTCAATCGCATCGTTGACCTTCTTTTCATTTTTAAAGTAAACTCAAATATATTAATATGATGGATGGGACAAATCGTATTTGTTTAAACACACCCATAATGGAATTTTTTAATAAACTTGGAATATCCCTTTACAAAAAACTATTCTGTCTGGTGTTGATGGTATTTGATCGGCCGTTTGCAAAGATAACAACTCAACTTGAGTTTTTGTTTGGTGGTTTCACGGATGAAATGTTTCTCTATCCCCGCTATTTTTTAGGTTGTTAAAGTCATTTCTTTTCCAGGAAGTATTTCTCCCCTGAAATTATTGTCGTCTTTGCCTCAATAAACAACAACTTAGCCCAGATGGTTGCAAAAAGGTTTCGTGCCTTCTACCCCACTGACAAATGTCTGTTTGGCTAATGGACTTACAAGTCATGTGAACTGCAGTTTCCGTTCGTGTTGATTGATGTATAAAATACCATCAAGGCTGATAATATTTGATCTGAAAGTTACCTTTTCAATTGGGTGATAAATTCAAGGACTATTCAAGAGTCTTATCTACTTGGAATTAAGTCGGAACTCGTGCTTCACTTAACAGTAAAGTCCGTTTACTAACCGTTTGGACATTTTAATTATATTGTTGAGGACGGTTACGTTTTGGATTAATCGTACAAGATTACCAAGCGAGGTAGGGCTCCTAGAGAGCTGTGTTTTGATGTCTCGTTACTTTTTATTTCCAGGAAATTATCAAATGCAACAATCGGAATAGATTAAACGCAGGTCATTATTAACAGGTTGTTTCGGAAAATTTTCACAGTCATGTATGCAAACATGAATGGATTTAGTTTGGAAATGTGGGAGATCTGGATCCCATATTTTAACCTGGATTTAACCCAGGAAAAAGGTATTCTGAGACTCTTAGAATAAAACGTGTGTTCGCTGTGGTCAACTCATACTTAATCGACAGTGCCGTAAGAAAATTAGGTCTTATTGCTTCTCTCAGACGGTGGTAAGCAGTTGCTGCACCTCATATAGAATCTCAGTTATTTAAAAACACTCCTTGATTGCCACAACGATTGATGTAGTCCTTAACCTCGATACATGCTTCCTGAATGAACTGAAAACCAATTCATAAAAGCAGTAAAAACAGATTTATTTATTTATTATCTAAAAATCAGTGAATTTTGCCTCTCTGCTCACGCAGTCCACTACGTAAGCTGTCTCATCCAGGTTCTCACTGGCAAAACATTTATATGATCGACAACAAAGCTGTAACGAAATATTAATCAGAACTGGCCCAATGATTGTTAGTTGCATAAATGGACTTTGAAACCCTAGGCGCACTGGTCTATTGTCGAATTTTATCTTGTGACAATGAGTTTAACGTGTTCCAATGCTTTATAACAGGAACGTTACTACAGGAACACTTCGTGCGATTTGCGCGGCTATTTTCGACTGGAATGCAGCCGTTGTCATCGACTTTCGGTTCCTTCTCACCTCTGTCTAAATATCAGCACTAATCCTTCGTTATTTGCTCATTTGCTAGAACTCATAATTGCTATTACACACAAATTTTCCTTGTAAGGATTTGGGCAGAAGGGTAGCGATACAAATGTTTAAAACGCTAGAGTCTCTTAAAATGTTCATCATCTCAAGTTACTGTTTAATGAAGCTATCGCTATCTCGGAGACTCCATCTTCTGCCAAAGCGTTGACAACTTACGAACGATCTTCACTGAGCTAGAGCGCGATTTTTTACATGGGGAGAAACCACCAAATTCAAAATGTGTGCAACCTCAGCTTGTTTTTTAACTTTTATAGAAGGTTTGAGGTTTGACATGAAGTTATAATTATCTTATTCTGATCTATTCTAACAACATACGCTGAAAGAAGTCAACTGAATAGTTGTCTTTCAATGTTGTTGGCGGCTTTTAAAAGCTTTGTTCATAATATTGAAGCTAGAATTTCAACCAGGGTTTTTTCATTTCCATAGAGCAGATTACTTTGTATCAAATTGAATTTTTTCTATTTTTGTCTTTTATTTCACTGATATCTTTCCAAATATTACTCCTCAATCGTTGCAATTGCAGTTTGCTCTTTAATTTCTAAATATTTTGAAGCGCAGTTTTTTCCAAAAGTCACTAATTAAGTTGTTTTATCATTTTGTGTCTGATTGCAGATTTTTGGATCCAAAAGTTTCTTCCGCCGAACTTAAGTGCTATCTAGAACCACTTGGTTGAAAATAATTGACATATTTATCTGTAGTTGTCTCTTTTTCCCAGACTGAAGTGAGCAAGTACTTGTTTGTTGGCCTCCAGTAAACATTTCACATTTCGACAATTTGTTCTTGTAAGGATGATTTATCCTGGTAACTCCAGCTACCCTAACGCAAGTCAATCGGTCGGCCCGCGTCCTGAACTGGAACCGAGATACGCCGTGACTCTTCGCCTTACCTTAAGTGCTATCATCTGCTCGATTGGAGTTGTGGGTAATATTTTGGTTGTCATCATCACAGGAGCAAACCACGGTGGTAAAACCGCTGTACACAAGTACATCCTCAACTTGGCTATCGCAGATATCAGTGTACTGGCAATTTGTTATCCGCTTACTCTTGTGAAAGCCGCGGATCCTGAAAACTGGCCGCTCGGAAGGTTTGTATGCAAGTTTGTGTACCCGTTTACGGATATCTTCTACAGTGCTTCCATTGGCTCCATCGTTGCCATAGCAATGGACCGCCACACAGCAATCGTTCGTGGAATGACAGCGTACAGGTCGAGGACGATTGCTAAATGGGTGATCCTGGCGATTTGGATTGCAAGCTTCATGAGTTCCGTGTTTCCAGTTTACTTGGTGATGGAATACATAGAGAACAATGGTACAGTTGACTGTACTCCAAAGTGGCCAAGTCACACCACTTTTGCCGCTTACGTGTTTTCTTTAACGATTTTTTGGTACGTTATACCGCTGTTCTTGATTCTCTGGGCATACCGGCAGATCGCGTGCAAAATTCGCGACAGCAAAATACTCCACCAAAAAATGCACAATATGGTTGGCTCTTACAAGAGAGAAAGGAAGAAGAAATTCGAAACTGCAAACACCAAAGCTCTTAAAATCCTCGTGCCGGTGGTGATTGTCTTTGCTATAACTATGTTTCCCTTTCATCTTCTTCAAGTAGTCAGAGTTTTCGTTGACGTGGGTCACATGAAATACATTTGGGTCGTGTATAACATATTTATTACTCTGATGCTGACAAACAGTGCTGCAAATCCGATTATTTACTCCCTTGTGAGCGAGGAGTTTCGGCAACAGTTCAAAAACATTTTGAACTTTAAATGTCAGCGTCTATGCCTCGAGCCGAGGAAAAAACATGATGCATCTATCACATATCGATATTCTCTTTCAGCAACTGCGCCTCCACCAAATCCTGATCGAGAGACAGATGTGTAAAATGAAGAGTCTTGAAGCTAAACTCAAATGAACTTATCAGCCAGTGAAATCTCAGAGTGAAAACAGAGCGTTTAAAAAAGCACGGGATTGGTCAAGAGGAGGGCGGAAGTTTCCTTATCCTCTTTAGGTGTCTGTTTTGACTACAAAAAATATATACAGAGAGAAGGATGACAAAAAATAATAATAATAAGAAAACGGATAAGGCCATATCAGGAATGAGGCACTATAAAAAGAACTGGTAATTTGGGAGAGAGTTTGAAAATACTACTTATCAAACGAGCGCTTGCTTCTCATGAGCCTTCAGTTGTATTTTATAGGCACGCACAGTGTGCTAAGAGGACAGGACAAAAGTGACTAAAGTTTCCATCCCCAACCTTGAACCCTAAGAGGGATTCACGCGTAAGTTCTTCTGATCATGGTGCAGTTTTCAATGAGTGTCGAAATACCAAATAATAATGACTACCAATCAAAGAAACGGTTAACATCCTCATTTACCAATGAGAATTTGAGGTAAAAAAACAAACAACCTGCCTGAAGGGCGGGAAAACACGACAGACCAAGTTGGGATTTGTTTTAGTTTTACATTTGATTGGATGGGTGGGTGGTGAGAGTTTTCTAGACCAATCACAGAGCGAGATAAAACAAATCCAAAGTAATCCAGGATCACTTTTAAGACTAAATTGAAAACTGCTCTTGTATTAAAAAAGTTTGATAAGAATGAACAAGCTTATAAGCTATGGGGCGTTATCTTGATAAAACAACAAGTTCTCTGAACTAATTTGTAAGGAAACGTATAGCAGTTTGAGGGAGAGTTAAGATCAGATGTAAGGAGTACAGCGCAACCATACTTAAAACCAGAATTAATTAAAACTATCAGAATCATTTCCAGATTTCCTTGGAGCGAATTGGAGAGAAGGTAACCTTTCGGGGGAGGGGGGGGGTGGGAGAGAAAAGAAAGTAATGGCGTCGAAAGTCTCTTCATAACACGCCTTCCCAGACCTGTTTGTAAGCACGTGTGTGGTATGTTTTATGATCAAAAAGAAATCTTTACAATCAGAGAAACATATGGTTGCATTTTTTCCCAAATGGTTTGATATGAATCAGTATATGCTACAAAAACGATTACTAAATCGAAGTAAGACAATTTTGTACTAAACACAGGATCGTGCACGTCAGGTAAAATGTAAATTCCTTATCAGTAACCCTTCATACTGCGCTATGTTCAAGCGCTTTCACCTTTCTTTTTGTTTGGTCTTTGAGAAGAACAATCCTTAAATAAACTATATAAAAACTCAAATAGGAGTTAAAAACTTAGAAGAGCTGGGAACCAAAAGGAATAAATTCAGTGTACAAACTCAGTCTGAAATCTTCCCGCAGGCGGAGAACGCACGTCCTGCAGTGCAATCTAAGAGGGCTTTCTCGAAGGCTAATGAAATAAAAGAGTATGAAAAAAAATGACAAAGCTTCGCCTGATTTATTCATTCTATGAGAAAAGGAAAAAGTTACAAAGGCAACTAATGACTTTATAAATAGTTCTAAGATTTACTATAAGCGCCCTCCTCAGCTTTTGCCGCTAAACGCTATTTATTATCAAAATAACTGTACGTTGAAGATATTTCTTGATTATTTACATTGATCAATGAATTCTGCATTAGAATTCTTCCACTACCCATTCGTTTTCTGTGATAAACGCATCTATGACCTCTTTCATAACGAGGTTTGGAGTCAACTGTTCTTGTTTCAAATCCGTTCTTGTCACGGGATCAAAATGGCCAACACGCTAAGAAAGAAAAAAAGGAAAAATGGCCACAAATATACATCTGAACTGAAGATGATAACAATGTACGCAGGTGAACACCGACGCGCACTAATTCTTATGAAAAAAATGACAATATTCGATGTCGAAGCCCCAGTCTCGATTTTCGCAAATCTTCGTAAGAGAGCTCGTTAATCTTTCGATATACGTGTCCAATCAAATAATAGCACCAGCACCTAGAGTTCCCCGAAATTCTCACGCCAGTAGAATATGTCGCGTTTCTTGAAAATATCGAGATAAACCCCGCTGAATAAAGAAGTTCCGGAATATCAGGAATAACGTCACAATTATTTCATGTCACCGCGTTTTTTTCGCAGATTGACTAGCACAATTTAAAAAGGAAATGATAACCAAGCAAACCTGTTTTTTTTTCTAAAGAGAAGTTTAGACTGACATACCTGCAAATGTTCTTCAATGTGTTTACGATCATATCTACGAGAGTTAAAAGTTTCCAACATTGTCCAGAAGTAATTAGCTGGCATCTGGGCGCAGCAGAGAAACGCCAGGTTACAGCTTGCATAAGGATGTGCTACTGGACTGGGTGTGGTTTATAGCCTTCCCTTCCTCACACTCTCTCTCCTCCCCCACACTCTCTCTCCTCCCTCACACTCTCTCTCCTCCCCCACACTCTCTCTCCTCCCCCACACTCTCTCTCCTCCCTCACACTCTCTCTCCTCCCTCACACTCTCTCTCCTCCCTCACACTCTCTCTCCTCCCTCACACTCTCTCTCCTCCCTCACACTCTCTCTCCTCCCTCACACTCTCTCTCCTCCCTCACACTCTCTCTCCTCCCTCACACTCTCTCTCCTCCCTCACACTCTCTCTCCTCCCTCACACTCTCTCTCCTCCCTCACACTCTCTCTCCTCCCTCACTCTCTCTCCTCCCTCACACTCTCTCTCCTCTCTCTCTCTCTCCTCCCTCCTCCTCTCTCTCTCCTCTCTCTCTCTCTCTCTCCCTCCTCCTCTCTCTCTCCTCTCTCTCTCTCCCCTCCTCCCTCACACTCTCCCTCCTCCCTCACACTCTCTCTCCTCCCTCACACTCTCTCTCCTCTCTCACACTCTCTCTCCTCCCTCACACTCTCTCTCCTCCCTCACACTCTCTCTCCTCCCTCACACTCTCTCTCCTCCCTCACACTCTCTCTCCTCCCTCACACTCTCTCTCCTCCCTCACACTCTCTCTCCTCCCCCACACTCTCTCTCTCTGCTAGGAATCTTAATCTGCTCTAAGAAGTAATTTCTTTTGCTACATATTAATTCAGAGATAAATCATAAGGTTTCTGGAATATACTTTATCCAAGTCTCCATGATAAACTGGGTTCTAATCTTAAATGTTACGCCAAAACTTCAAAGGTAACAAGGGCAGGGTTTTCACCTTGCACAGAAGCAAAACCTTCACATCTGAATTTCAGTCAAAGTCTTCCCAGAAGGTTTTCACTGGAAACAATTCCAGTGATTTTTCCAATTGGCAAATTAATTAATTATATAAAAAAGATACGTGATTCCACTTGGTGTAATGACTGGATCCTTCATGAGTTCAAAACTAATTTGTCCACACAAGAAGTCTGGCACCTCTCTTTTCTGTAAGAAACCAGGAAGAACATTTCAGAGGAAGAAGTTGGGTTTCTGGCTTTCAAAGTACAAATTAAAGTGACAGTAAACAAGCAACAGAGCATAAAACCAATAAAACACAATCATGGATTAACTTCAGAAAACTGTATTTGAACAAGTCATGGCAAATCTTGATTTACTGTCTCTCAACCCATGATTCAAATTCTGATAACTGTAATAACCATAGCCTCACGAGAGCTTAAACTGCCCATCCTCTAAGAGCCTAACCTGATTTTGTAGCAAGGAGTGACCGGGAGAATTGCTAGTCTCCCTGGGTGGGATGCTAGTCCATCACAAGGTTACCCTTCCACCCCCTTCCCTCCCCTACAAAAAATGTGTAAGGCTTTAATGACAGCACCCTAGCACCCATTTATAGTTGGAGAGAGGCATTGCAAGAGCAAGGTGTCCCACCCAAGAACACATCAAAATGACCAGATCTGGTCTTGAACTTACACCTATTAATTCACTGATATGAAGCACTGATTTTATTATAAAAATATATCTGTTTCATCAAGCTTTACTGGTACAGTAGGTGAATAGGATTTTGAACTTTACATTCTGATATCTGTACCAACTACCTCTGATGGGAAAATCCAAGACTTCAAACTTCATCGTCACCATTGGAGTTGTAACGACTACCAGTGACTCACACTGTTCCTTAACCCTTTAACTCCCAGATCAAATTTGTTATTCTCTTTACTGTCAACCATGCAATTCTTATAATGTTAGTTCAGAGAATTTAGTATTGGATCATCTAATTATACTCAAATTAATATTTTTCTTTATTCTCATCACTTATCTTTTTAATATTGTACAGATATTGTAAGGAGAAATTCTGTCTTGGTCACTCATGGGAGATGAAGGGTTAAGATATACATAATACATTCAGCAAACTAAGGTAAGAAGATGAGCTCTCACCTTTCGTCTGACATCAACTTCTTTAAAAAGGCTATTTACTTCTGATAGTCTTTTATCCTGGAAAAAAGATGCAACAACAATTAAGCAACAACCTACTGACTTTGGGGTGTATTGATGAAAAGGTGAGCATGTTGCATTTGTCAATACAAGAAAAAAGAAACAAACTTTACTCACACATTCCAATTCAATTTTATCAAGTTCTTCTTTGTCAGGATCTTTTCCTGCAGCTTTAATTTGTCTGAAAAAGGTTAATTGATAATGTTAACCCTTTAACTCTCAGCAGTGATCAATATGCAACTTCTCCCAATAATATCTATACATTATCCAGCACACAGGTAATGAGAATACTCAAACTTATCAGGTAGAAGTTGTCATCTTGATCTAACACCTAATTCTTGTAACTAATATACAAGGAAATGTGTAGCAGCTAGAGAGGAGAATTAACAATCAGATCTTGGGAGTTAAAGGGTTAAACCCTTAATATCCTAACATAATTCTATATACTGTTTTCCATACATTTCTTAAGGAGCGGACAAAGAGAATTGTTGAACAATCAAGAGCTTCTTTGGTTGGTGATCATTTCCTTTATTCTCATGACCTTACTGTGTGATTCAGGGGTGATATTGTAGGGAGAAATTAGATGCTGGTCACTCTTAGTGTTCAAAAGGTTACCCAGCTCAAAAGCTGATACAGGTGACTGACAAAGTTAAAAGGGTAATGTCAGAGTCAACAAAAAGAAGTTTACCTCTTCTTATCATCAAGGATTAGATTATTCAAATATGACTGCAGCTCTATTTCCTGGCTAATTCGTCTTTCTTCTGCAACACTAAATCTCTGGAATAACAATATTGAAAATGAGACAAAATTAGATCTGACAACTAGCACACTTAAATTGTGTTGTTCTTTGTGGAAGTAACCAGAGGTTCAAGTACATCTAACAATGCCTAATGTCTTGTCATCTGTCATCGGTTACTCATTCTGATTTTTTCCAAATTTTCTTTCAAGCCAAAAGTTTATATTTTCCACTTACATACAGGTAGCTTACATTATCAGATAATCATTTCATACACAATGAGTGTAGTCAATTCTTCATACCTTCTTTTTAGCCAGACGGACTGTACTTGCTATATCATCTCCAAAGTTAAGTTTCTGTTCTTTGGCTAAATCATAGGCTGGTTACAGAACAAACAATGATAGTGAACACCTTTTTGCTTGAGAGAACTTCATAGTTGATTTATATCTACCCTGTACAATAGTTAGGCTCACTGACATTAAATGGACATACAGAAAGTCCCTAAGGACTAAAGGAGCTGTTCTATGATTGGAGCAGAGATTGGGGCTTTCATGGCACCCTAAAAAGGCAACTAATGCAGAGTGTTAAAGTCTGTTTCTCATTTACAACCAGATTGCTATCTGCAGGTGATCATAGCAGAGGGGAACCCACATAATATTTCCATGCTACCGTTAGCTGTAAATTTTAAAGTGAATGAAAGGGATTTACCGCAAGCTTGAAGTTCTTGCTGTATTTCAAATTACACTCTATGCCAAGTTTGAATGTCTAACAGCCCAATTGAAAAAACTCAAAATCAAAATTTAACCCTTCACACCCTAACATCAACATGCAAGTTCTCAATACTAATCTCTATACATTTCATATGGTCCTTACAAGGAAAATTTGTCTAAAAATCAAGGGCTTCTTGAATTTGTGATCATTTTCTTTATTCTCATTAACACAATGTTTGATTCAAGGGTGATACTATGGGAAGAAATTAGATGCTTATCACTTTTTAAGGGTTAAGATAATCTTTTTTTTCCACCTCTTTTTAAACTTGCAAGTGCTTCATCATAATTCTCCTGTTCAAGGAGTGCCTGCCCAAGGAAGAAATGTGCCTTGACCAGGTTCACATCAAGTTCTATGGCACGACGACAGTCACTTATGACCTGAGACCACTTCTTAAGTTTGAGATGACACAAAGCCCGATTTGTGAAGTATGTTGGAACTGTTGGATTCTTGATCTAAAATAGAGAAATTGTAATAATGGTGAATTTGTGGAAATTTCCTGATGGAGCTAATAGATCAAGTAGAAAAAGAAGTATTCAAAAATTTCATTAAAAAAAAAATTACTGTTTAATCACATATTTGGACATTTACTGTATTCATCGAAGAAAAATGAAACAATGATTAAATCTTATTTCATAATGTAGAGAGTTTATCGTCTTCTGATTTAAGCAAACTATTTTTCAACTGTGTAATGTATCTGAAAATGAAACTGATTACACTTCTGCGTAAAATATTGTGCCCTAGTTTTTAGATGAGTGACTCAGTCTTAAACAAACCTTTTCAGAACTTTTCTATCAGAAGGCACACCACATGAACAAGTGTTACATTTGAAAAGCTTTTAGCAGGGGAACGGAAAGCCACAACGTATCGTAGACACCGAAATTTTGGGAGGTTACATAAAATTAAATTATATTTTCTTCAGATTTAAAAAATCCTCGCATCGTCCTAATCCTTTACTCTCCAAAATCAAAAAATAACAGACAAATTAACTATGCTATTATGTCAATGGCGAAAAAAAAATCCGCAAATGAAAATCACTAGTTTTTTTTCTTTTTTTCCTGGTATCAAACTCGAGCTTTCCATGGGCACGATCCAGTTCAAAATTATAAAATTCGTGTGATCATGAAACTAGCAAGTAAAAGCGAGACAACTGATTTTATAAACTGCCATCACTATTCTCCGGATGGCCAACGCCAACTTTCAAATGTAATAGATAAATCTAAGTCAAAACTTCGAGGAAAACAAACCACAAATTCTTAGATGTAAGGCGATTTAACCGAATGTGAATGAACGTGATTTCAACCTACAATAGCCTTTGTGTAACATTGCGCTGCATCATCGTAATGCCTGCCGCTAAAAAGACGATTTCCCTGTTCTTTGAGGTCTATGGCCGTCATTCCAGTACACCTCTTGCGTCTATAACATCTCTTGTGATTAATATTTGTGTTAAAATTTTTAAAACAAACCAACCAAACTTAGTCCTGGCACTTCGGCTGTTGTGATGTATCGCGCGACCGCAAAGGAGGCTTAGGGTGTTTTTTTACTAGGGTAGGGATGGAAATTTTTGTCGCGATAGTGCCGGGTAAATGAATAACTCGCTCGTTATCTAACTAAACAGATGACATTGTCGATCACATTCGAACCTTGTGTCACTATTGTTCCTGCTCTGTAAGAAATCTTTGGACCTTTGAAATCTTAAGAAAATTTCTTGCCAATGCAAAATTTTTTTAAAGAAAATATGCCCGGATGCGACGCACATATATAGCGGTGAAATTATGAGTGTAGAATGACTCTTAAAGGCTCTATTCCGGCACACAGGTTTCCAACTGAACAGCAAAGTTGAAGTCTTTTTCAGGTTTTACGATCGACAGTTGCACTTGGACGGAATATTTCTTCTGTTTAAAGACAGTCGATTTGAAACATGGGTTGCTTTAGCTGTTCGAGGTAAGATGATTTTAATAATTAACTTTATGGGCTTTACATATCCGCATAGTTCATACTAGCATATTCTAAAGATTTCCTTTTAGAAAAAGGTTTTCTTCCGTCAGTAAGTAATCACGGTAAGCCCATTATTTGTGTATGAAGAAACAATTTATCTTAATTTTGAATTGCCTTTTTTGGAAATAATACTGTACTTGATCAAAATTGCTGGAAACATTTCTGGCCTCATCAGTCAAGTTAAAACTCGTGTCAGTTTTCTATTTAGCCAAGGTCAGATGGGGAGGGGAGATTAGCAGGGCGCTCAGAAACTCTTTTGGAAACAAGGAATCTCTGTCTTGATCTAATTTTGAAATGACAGAGCATCGTCGACCTTTTATTTCTAAGGGCATATCATCCTATCTCATAGACCATATACCAAGCATGCTGTGAAGACAGGTAGACGTGAATATAATGAGCCTGATCATTACTAGGAGAAGAGTTGGCCTCTCATGTCACTCTCAAAAAATCCCTTACAGCAGGCTTAAAACTTGAACAAGGGTGCAAAATACTATCATGCAAAAATAAAGTTTTGTCATGTTGGTGGAGGAGGGGGGATGCCCTTGCTAGTTGCTGGGAAATGGGGTCAGGGTCATCCTTACTCAGTTCAAATTCAAAGTAAAACTGATTTAACCCTTGACTTCCAAGATCTGATTGTTAATTCTCCCCTCTAGCGGCTATAAATTTCCTTGTAAATTATTTACAAGAACTTGGTGATACAGAGATCAAGGTGACATCTTCTGCTGGAAAAGTTTAAGTATTCCCATGACATATTTGCTGGATAATATATGGATATTATAGGGAGAAATTACATGCTAATAACTTCTGGAAGTTAAGGGGTTAATGGTATATTACCCAGTATTGGCAGTCTTCAGTAAAAAATGCTTATAGAGGAGAAAATAAAATCTACGTTGTAGACAGCACTTCATGGAAATTTATGTAACAATATGTTTAAATCTTGTTCCTCAGACTTATGAATCCACCTGCTGGTAAAAATGAGGCATATAAACCCACTGTGATTGAACAAACAGCAAATATCATTACCCATGGAGTAAGCACTAAATAAATTAAATATTCCCTTTTGAATAGTAGTTTACAACATGTTGGAACAGGAAATTTTTAGCCTTTCTGTTTTTTGTTTCAGCTGTTTGTAATGCCAGCTGTTTATGCAGCATTGCGTCTTCACCAAAATTCTAGACTGCTATCAGCAAGCCATCGTTTTATTGCTGAAGTGTATGGAACTGCTTTTATCCTTGTCTTCTTGATATCAACTCTATTTCATGTTGTCAGCCTGACAGGAAAGGCTAGGTGAGATGAGTTACCTACATCGTGTAACAGTATAACATAAATTGGACACAAAATGATTTATGAAAATCGATCTTGACTGTACATTTGGCAGATCAACATTGTCATTTTAACCATAGGTTCACAAAGAAATTAGCAGAGAAAAATCATTCAGTTCTCTTCCATTTAAATGTGATAATTTTCTTTATGCATGCCATACAGTTACAAAAAAATTAACCCTTTAACTCCCAGATCAAATTTGTAATTCTCTTTACTGTTAACCATACAATTTTTATAATGTTAGTTCAGAGAATTTAATATTGGATCAACCAATTATCCCCAAATTGATATTTTTCTTCATTCTCATTACTTATATATCTGATTGATATTTTATCGATATTGTAAGGAGAAATTCTGTCTTGGTCACTCGTGGAAGTTAAAGGGTTAAAGCATTAGCCTAATCAGTTTTAGTTCAAATCACTCATATATTCTCTTCCTGATCATAAAGATCACAAAAATTTGTAAACATACTTTCAATCAAAGGTACCGGTATCCATATCTGATTGATATTTTATCGATATTGTAAGATCTTCGAGGATCTTTGACTTTCTTGCCAAGATCTTTAAGGATCTTTCATTTTCCTGTCAAGATCCTTGAAGATCTTGTCTGGATCTTCAAAGATCTTTACATGAACTTTGGAGAAATTCTTGGCAATGTCTTGGTCAAGAGATTTGAAGATCCTTAAAGATCTTGACAAGAATGTCAGTGAACCTTGAAGATCCTGGCAAGGAAATGGAAGATCGTTGAAGATCTTAGCAAGAATGTTATAGAACCTTCGAAATTTTGACAAGAAAATAGGCATACTTAAATCCTCATACTAAGTTAAAAAGAAAATTGAACCAAACATAAAAAAATGAAGATAAAACTTTTTTATTGCTAAACGAGAATTACCCAAGACTTTAGGTTAGTACTAAAGGGTTAAAAAAAGGCAAACAAAAGTACTTCAATGACTATATTTCTAAACCATATTAACCTATATACCAAAAGAAAACTTTGGAATCACACATACTGAATATAACATTAGCCTAATCAGTTTTAGTTCAAATGTCCTCACATCATTTGCATCCTCACTCTCAAGAGCTCAGAGCAAGAATCATTAGGCGAGGATGGCATCTTCATTTTCTTTCCATATATTCTCTTGGAGTTTGATTGACGATTTCGGTTGTTTCTGTCCCTCTTTTCGATCATTTCTGTGTACATTTTCCCTTTAGTTCCGAAAGATCACAAAAAACCCTATTTGTTGTTTGTAAACATACTTTCAATCAAAAAAAGGATCCTTACAAAGAGCTGCACAAAATCATGAAATGAATCTTTTAAAGATATGTGGAAGATCCTTTTCAATTCCTTGAGGATCTTGAAGGATCCATGAAAAAAAAAAGGATCCTTGAAAAGATCCTGCAAAGATCTTGACTTAAGTGTCCTTTTTCTTGCAAAGATCTTGAGTAGGATCCTTGCAAGATCCTGATTATGGACAAAAGGATCCTTGATTTAAATCCTTGAGGATCCTCCTCAAAAAGATCTCAAATTGTCTTGTATGTCCTTGTAAAACAGAGGGAGAAGTTAATGTCTCATCAAATGTCTCTCAGGACGTTATTTATTCACTCCATCAATTACTGGTAAATATTGATATAATTATAATATAATCATACAATTCACATAATACAATAATCTTTTTCTTTTTCAGCTCCTTGAGATTCTTTCTGCATTTGAGTGATCGTGGCATTATTTATTTCTTCATTGCAGCTTCATACATGCCATGGTGAGTGGATAAAAATTTGGTTTGGAGAAAATCTCAATACTCATTTTCATCAAATCTTACTATGCCAATACACCTTTAAATTTTTTTCTTGTGTATGATTAAAAAAAACTTCCCTAACCACCCATTGGGAGGCACTGAAATTTTAAGGGAGGTGGGTTTCAATAATTTATTTTGTGAAAGGAAATAAGGATTTATTCTCAAGGGTGGAGGAGAGGGTTTACCAAAACTCCTCTTTTATGATTTGCACAGATCTTTTTAGGGACAACATTTATGTTCCAAGGGTGGGGTAGGGGTGAAACAGAATCATAAAGATGATTCTACCCCATATAAAGGAGTAACTTCTGTTTTGTTTTCCAGGCTAGTGTTAAGAGATGTTGGCCAGTATGGAGATCTAATATCCTGGCTTTTATGGTGTCTTGCTGCAACTGGCACTGTTTATACTTACATGTTCCATGAAAGGTAACTGTCCGATCTCAGTGATAAACTTGGCTCAACTGCTATCAATATTTTCTGTGTTTTCTTAATTTGTAATTTATTTTGAAATGATTTAAAGGAAGGAAGCTCTTTGCACTCTGTTTGAAAAGTTTCTGCAATATTGCACTGGCTGTTGTAATCAGTTCATGAGCTCTTTTTGTTTTTAATGTATGGCCATTTTTTCTGTTTTTTGTTTGATATTGTTTGATTTTGTTTTGCTTTTAGATATAAGACAGTAGAAACTGTTCTGTATCTGATCGTTGGAATATGTCCATCTCTTCCCCTAGCTTTTGCCTCAGTAAGTATATTCGTTTCTTTTGAGTCATCCCTTTCCAGCTCTAATCTCTCATCAGGATGCAGATTTGTGCTTTCTGTTAGTGTGTCTTAAACTACCGAGCTACGCTTAGCGACCCAAAATTTTTTAAACGACTCGTTCTTGCGAATTTCCCCAACTCACTAGCGGTCAATCTATGTTGGTGACGTAATCGAAATTTGATGAGTATAGCCAATTGTTGAGGAAGTAGGAAACACAATATTCGCGCGCGTTTGAATATATTTGTCATTTTTTCCTTCTCGATCATGCCCACTAGTCATAGAGATGGCCGTATAGATGATAACTCCATTCGTCAGGACACGCGTGTAAATGCTGTTAGAATCCCTCTGCCTGCCTCATTTAGCCAATCGCAATGTCGCCACAGCTTTTCTCGCGCTTTTGATTTAAGCTTGTTGTGCACAGAGGAATTTCCAACCAACTGATTATAGTAATCCAAAATTTCATTCAACTGGTTTACCATACCTCACTCTTTGATTGGTCTAGTACATTTGTGCCATCCCGTCAGCCAATTGTTGCAAAAATAAAACCTACTGCGACTTAGTCACGTGCGAATTTCCGCGCTTAAGGCCCTCAGCAGGCATTTTCTCTGGGCTCTCATTGGCTCCTCCTGCATGCTATTTGCGTTTTATGTCATGTTTGGTCGTTATGATTATCCTGGTTTTAACACACTCAATCAAAAGTGCTCCAGCCACTGTTATTAATTTGGTTCGGAATTGTGAAACTCCATCTGAAACTGCTCTTTGTATGTAGGCCTTTTTTTCGAATAACTGTTTTTCCCTTTACACAGACGGACTCCGCTGGTCTAGCCGAGGTAGCACTGGGAGGAGCCTTTTACGTCAGTGGCGTAGTGTTTTTTAAATGTGATGGACGAATACCCTTTGCGCATGCTATCTGGCATTGTTTCTGTGCCACAGGAGCATGGTGTCATTTTTATGCTGTCTACACGCATCTATACTTGGAAAAACACTAGTTACGAATTTCCGACCGTAGATCGATTATACGTCGGGCATAATCGTGCAACCTGGTCCCCAGTGTTCTCGGATGTTATTGATACTGGATGAGGTGTGATTGCATATTGAACTGTAAGCGGGTTGTGGACAGAATATTTTGGACTGAATTTCATAGAATGTTTGCACGGAAATAGTAGTATTTCGAAATTTTGAGTGAGGTGTGGAAAAAAAAGAAACGAAACTCTATGTGCAGTGAAGCGTAAATTTTACTTTGTGGGTAGCAGTTTAATCATATTTATTGAATTCTATATATTGTACAGTGTAGTTCTCGTAAAACACCGACAAAGTTGTCTTGCTATTTAGGGCTCAGAAAATAAGCAGAGCAACAACAATTCTTTCAAAAGAAACATAATTTTTAAGTTTGCAAAAAAATCTTCCACATTACTCATGTGATCTTCAGTTCCAAATGGTCATTGTACGGTTTTTATTTACACTTAAGAAAAACGTTATGGAACTACGACCTAAGATTACGTTATACAGATTCGGAAACTATTGAAATAAAATACAACAGAATCACAGAAAAGCAGTGGCGAGACTATGAAGTAAAACAGGAAAAACCAAAACAAAACTGCCTAAAAAAATTTAAAAACAAAGCAAAACAAACGTGTACGACATATAATACAGTAAGAATTGAAAAAAGAAAATGAAAACTAATAAAAGCGAAGAAAGTCGGATTATCCTATTCAATATACGTGCCCCCTTTTTTTTTTATTTGAAAAATTGAGGGGGCAGAACCTGCAATTAGTTTTTTATTCAATTCCTAATTATTCCCGCCGGTGTATTCACGCCTCGATATCCTTGAAATAAGAATTGTTTAAGATCCTTGGGTCAAGTAGGAAAACCAATATTTTAACCGTAACTCTTGCTGATTAGCATCATATTCTCTTTAGCCAACGTCAGGTCACTGATTTTACTTGAAATTTTAATCAAGTGTAAAATAGTTATGATGTGTAATGCACACTCGCATTAGTCGATAGGTGTGTACAGATAAGAGCATGGAAGCATGGTGGTGCCGTTTCAGTTTTCCGCATATTTTTAAAGAAATCTTTCATTAAAACATCAGAGGCCCATTAACGTGTCAACATAGCCTCGGGGGGTTTGAAGGATTCCAGAAAGTTATGCAGACCCAAAACGGCGCAATCAAAGTTCTAACCGTCTTTAATTCTCCCAATCCTTTTCAGACTAAGCGATGAAAACGCGCAAGAGCTCTTTTAGTATAGCTACTGTCTAGATTTCATGAGAAATTAATTCTTTCCAGGTTATGTATGATAGCATGGCATACCATGTTGAATTTAAATACTGTCCCGAGCAGAATTTATTTGACTCCGATTGTCTTACCGCAAAGAGGGTTAATTTGAATTGAAGATGTCGAAAACTGAAGAAAGCAGAAATAAAACAATGAAAATTAGCGGGTATATATTTGATTGTAAATTTATGTATTTTATGAACCAGTTAGAGTGCCAAGCAACCTTCTGTGTATGAAGTACATGTTGATAAATTACTCTTCCTGAATCCACTGTTTCATTATGTTTTCACTTGCGTATGGACTGTCAACAAATTGGGTCACGGTTAGTAAATCGTGTCAACCGTTATTCAACAGTTCATTAAAATGCAGCCACAAGCAGGGTTTGTATGCGTCCTGGAGAGTCCTGGAATTTTATTTTAACATTTTCCCGGACTGGAAAGACCTGGAATAAGACTGTAGGTCCTGGAAAGTCCTGGAAATCTGCTGAACTCAAGCAATAAAGTTTTCAGAATTTACGTGAAAAGAAATTTATACAGGGCGTAAAGAAAACTGGTTTTGAAATCTTGGGCATGAAAGGGTTTAAGTTGAAATTTGGAGTGCTGGAAAAGTCAATCTGAGTCTTAGAAGAGTCCTGTTTATAACAAGGTTACGAATCTTGTACAAGGGTAGGAGTCTCGCGCACATAAAATTTTTAGCAGGTTAACTCACGGGAATCGGATGAATTGTACGAGCTAGCTTAAAAAAAAGTGTGATGGCACGGGCGGGTCACACGCCTCTCGCCACGAATACGCCACCACCCAGGTGGCCAAAACATTAACTCTTTTCCCGCGTGCTATTAAGCTACCAACTGTCTAGACAGCAGTGCAGATATTTTACTCGACGCACACGCCCTCAGCGTTGCAGGACCCGCGTTTCTCCGCTTGGCGAGAATATTTGAGACGGGTCGGGGAGGGGTTTGCAGCAGGTTTTGGGTTAGTAAGGGAGTTGAAAGACTGTGCTCAGTGCATTTTGCACGTGGAACTGGCTTCTATATTACTGAAAATCAGTGACATCCTACGTGGAATAAAGCTTTCCACTCCGAATTCTCAAATAAAACGTAACAGATTTTTTTTTCTGTTCCTGTCAAAGTATCTATGGTAGGCAATGGTAACTTTTTTCTCAAACTGACAGGGGAGAAACACAATTATATTCAACATTCTCTCAAGAATATTACAGACATTTCAGAGACCTTTTTCTCATATATATATAGAGCTGCCGCGAATTTTTATTGTTGTTTAAATGTACATCGAAAGATTTATCTAACATGAAACGTCGTTTCTTGTTATCTTCTATCGAAATTGAAGGGAACGTAGCAACCGTGGAGTTCTTTGAGATGGGAATGAGACTTGCAATGCATTTTTAGCGGGGTAGGGTGAGGTTGTTTTTGTCCCGTCCTGCGCATGCCTAGTTGGCAGTGTAAAAGGATCAAACCCGGGGCGTCGTTTGAGGAGGTATTATAATTTCAGAAACTCTCTCCGAATCCTCACAAAGAGCTTTTAGTTGGACTTTTACGACCTTGCTTTCTTTTCGCCATTTAATCTGTGGAAGTAGGTAGTCAGAAAAAGGCGAGGACGTCTGATTTCGATTAAGAATGAAACAGAAATAGCAGCGATCTACGATCTGCTATGGCTGATCGTGCTTGCAGGAACTTTCAGCCAAATGTCTTCAACAAGAGCAAGTGTCAAAATTGTTTCAAGCTACTGGAAGCACACAGCTCCTCAATTTCCGGCCAAGATCCCTCCTTTTCAAGTGCAACGAGGAGAAATTCAACTCAAAAGGTATTAATGTATGATTGTTTGACTCCGTTCGGATAGCAACCGTCTATTGCCTATGTTATGGTGTTTTCTTGAGGGTTCTGTTTTAACTTGCGCTGGCAAAGATTTCCTTGTTCAGTCGCAGTTCACGATTTTAATCATGAATCTTCTTTAAATTGATTTTAGGTTTATCCAAGGATCAGAACTGTGGTAAAATCTGGCGTTCTCTGTATAACAACCCATGAATCCCTCGAGAAGGGAAGAGTTATTCCTTCGGTAAGTTGCAATATCCTTTGCTCCGTTTGTGAATTTTTTGCTAGTTATTTTCTTCAAGGTAGGCTACCCTATTTTGAATGGCTTATTTTATCGTTTTGTCTTATTTTCAGCGATGGAATAAGCGCTGGTTTGTTCTTAATTCCACGGGGACACTCGACTTTTTTTACTACGATGAACAGAAGGTAGGAAATTTAATTTTCACATAGCTGAAATTAACATGGTATTTGTCTAGTGTTAACTATACCAACTAATATATTTAACTCGAGAGAAATCGAGCACATTCCTCGTCAATACAGTTATTTTGCGCTCATTGTCTACATCTCAGTCCCTTTATAACGACGAAAGAACAACGATAGATTGTTTTCGAACATTGCGGGAATAATTTTGCGAAGGTCTTTGTTTGTATCACCTATTGAAATTAACAGCGAAAAATATTTTGTTTATAAATTGTTTCCCACATGCAAATTGAATCCGATGGATCGATATATGTCCATCGCTTAACGTAAATATTTGCCGGCCGTAAAGTATTTTGACACATTAACCTTTAATATTATAATGAAGATGTTTTCTGATGTATCAGTAATCTTTTGAAGGATGAATCTGTAGTGAGGCGATCACGTTTGAATAATCACATCTTTACTGATAATCCTGGAAGCTGAAGTATGTCAGATTCTTCTCAGTTTTCAAACTTTGTAACGGGAGAAGCACTTTGTAAACATCCCACAAAGCCTTTTAAGTCCTTTTCGCTGTGAGCGGTGTTGATTTACCCCAAGCTAAACATAATTTCGGTATGCTCCCTTTCGAGGTATCTTGTTAATCTAATTGTTCCATTTGCCCTCTGGGGAGAGAATATCTTTAGTAATATTGCATTGTTTACCTTTTTTTTAAAGACTATGTAAGCGTTTTTGTTGGGTCTGCTCTGAAGAAATAATCACTCAACCAGTTCTGGGCCTAATTTTTTTTTTTTCAATATTGTTATAAATAATCCATGTCAGTGATGTTAACCTTGAGAGATACAATTCCCTGTGATCTCATGTCTTGTTGTTACATTGCATATATTGTGTAATTTGAGCACTCATTTATTTGATCATAACATAGGCAATATTTTACGGTGGAAACTCGAGGCGCAGAAGGAATTTACATTTTTTATCTCTTGTTAGTATGAATCAAATGTCACATTGGCATTTTTCACACTCTCCTATGCCTTGTAATATCACCAGTGCATTCTTTCTTGTGGGCAAATTCTACCTCCCAGAGTGGAAACTGGGATTTTTTTATTTGTGCCTTTTGACACTGAATTGCATGTGGATAACAGTACATCTTCCTTTAGCACCTTAAATTTCAGACTGTATAAAGTCTTAAAAGTAAAGACATTTTGATTTTTTTTTGAGATTTGTGTGGTTTTGTACCAACAACATAGAGATTAGTTTGACAATTTATTTTTAAATTTACTCAAGTAAATGATTTAAATTTGTATTTGTATTATCATCATGATACTCTAACATAACTAAGGGCAGGCAAGTGTTTTTTTTCATTTTTAATTCCAAACATTTTTTAATGAGATTCATGAAATATTGAAAGTGTGTGGTCAACTATTTACTCATGAATATCTATAGCAGCTGATGATTGCAAAAATTTAATCCTTGTAAGCTCAATTAAATTGTTTTGCCTATATGTGTTATGACAAGTACTGCTCACATATCTTAGATTTGTGTTTAATGCTCTCAAATTGCTTGAATTGTGCTCAGTCTTGGCGGACAAGTTAAATGTGTGAAAATGGATGAATAAATGCACTTTAACTTGGAATAATGTTGAGGCAACTAAGAGCGTACAGTATTGGTTGCATTTAATCACTCTGGTCTGGCCTTACACATTTATACCATACTCATTTCTGTTTTCTGTTCATGTTAACTTTGCATAAATGTTTTCAAGTTAAAACTGTGCTACTGCTAAAAACCTTGGGATCAAATTATTATTTTTTTGTATATAAAACTTGTACACTTGCTTATGAGCAAATGCTCTACTATTAAAGCAATATATTTTTTCATGATTTGGAAAAAGTTAAATGGGCAGGTCCCCTTTTTTCCAGCATTGGCATCTTCACTCACATAGTGAATAACACAAATGTTAATCAGAGGATTTACTGTAACATTAATTTTGCAGAAATCTGCACAGTTGGCACATATATCCAGATGTATTGAGAGTTATTTGATGTACATTTTTTATCATCTTTTTTTAAAAGGGCTGCTCAACAGAACGACTTGATGGAAACATTAATCTGGACTTCTGTAGCGGGATGTTTATTGGTGAAGCAGATACTGGAGAGCCTTTTTCAATTGGATTGAAGCTGGGAAAGTCCACCTATTATCTGAAGGCAGAAAATCGATTGGAATTAGACAACTGGTCGCGAGTACTCAAACCTTTTGTCCAGGCATCTCAGGCATTTATTCCACGAAGAAGCTCAAGTAGTAGTTCTGCAGAGTCAGATGTGTTTGCGCATAGTGAGTCAAATCATTCAGTGCAAGTTAAAAAATTTTGCTATACTCATAATTTGTCAAAAGTTTAGAAGTTAGGATTATCTCAATTTTTTTTTCAGGGGAGGGGACCCTTACTTTGTGACTGTCATAGCTCATCTCTCCACTAAGATAAACTATCCCATTAGAGAATCCTGTCTGATGATTTTTTTTTCAGTTGTAAAATAAGAACATCAATTAACCCTTTAAACCCAGAGAGTGATTAGCATCTAATTTCTCCCTACAAGATCACCCATGAATCACACATTAGGGTCACAAGAAAAAAGGAATTGGGGAAGGAACCTTTTGATTGGCAAACAAATTCTCCTTGTCAGCAGCTTAGGAAATGTATAAAGATCAGTATGGAGAATATGCATACTGATGTTAGGGTGTAAAGGGTTAAAAAGCTTTGGCTTTGGCCAGTTATTGCTCCCTGTTTTCAAGCATATGACACTCTTGTTTATATTTACATTGATGTAATATCTTGACCATTTTGAATTGTTTTTGAGTTATGGGTATTTGGAGAAACCTTGCTATCAGTGCATGTAATTACTGTTATGTGATCTGCTGAAGTAAACAAGCAGTTTGATTGGTTGTTACTTATGATTAAATGGAGGACAGACACATAGATAATCTCACCATTAGCAACATTTTGCTTTTTTTAATTTTAAATAAATAGATGTCATGTTGCTGTGCAACTGTCCAGTAGTAGATTACAGAAGTTGTCAAAATGTGTTAAGACCATCAGTGACATGTTCTGCTTCGCCTCTGGCACCACATTTTTGTTCTTACCACATTTCGAATGGACGCATAGAAGTTCTTTGTTGTTGATTGAAAGTCTTCTACTATCCTAATTTGACAGGTACATCAACAAGCCTTGGACGCGCTCCAAGCTTTGGTAAATCCTCAGTGTCCAGAGTGAGCACAACTCCTCTTAGTACAAAAAGCACCACGGGTAATGAAGAACAGCAAACATCGGTGGGTGAAATCTTGTTGTGTCAGTGCTTTAATCAGTGATCACTTTGGTTGACTTAGAGAGCAGTTTTCAATTTACTGTCAAGTACTTAAACTCCAAAGCAAAAGGAATCACAACGGCTAATCATTACAAAGGTTAACATCATTGTGAGCCAATGAGCACTCAATGTAAAAATAGACAAACCATGAAAAAGGCAGGAAAATGCAGGTGACTAGGTCATGCTTATTTTTTGTTTTGGGAGTTTTGTAGACCAATCACTGACCGAACAAATGCCAAACCAAACCATCTCAGTTTACTTTAGATACTTAACTGCAAATTGCTTTAACAAACAAGATAAATTATGGCAACCAAATGTACAATGAAATTCACCAATTTGACAACCTGTGATGGCTGGCTGTGTAACAAGCGGAAAGGGTTTGATTTCTGAGTGTTTTATGTCTAAGTTAAAGTGAGATAAACTGTTACATGAAGTAGCATGTGAAATTGTACAAATTTGTTTTTCATGGACAACTAATGGAGTGCATTAATACCTCAGCATAATAGAAATATTCCTTTTCACTTCATCGACATGGAACTAAAATAGTGTGCTTATCAGATAACCTAACAGACTTGTAGGAAATTAAACCCATGGGTCTGTTTTTATTTTTTTAGGTGAGAAGTAAACTTTTGAAAAATCTCTCAGATTTCTTCTGCTATCGAACAAATCCGTTCTGTTTTTTTGGTTAATTTTTTTCTCTATTCAGTTGCAGCTAGAGAAACTTAAAGACGAAAACAAACGCCTGAGGGAACAAAGCGTGTTATCCGTTAGGCAGAAGGATTCGACACATATTTTAGAGTTGGAACTTAAAACAAAAGTGAGCAGAATTAAAGAGTTAGAGAAGGAGCTCTCACAGTGCCGAGACTATCAGAAGGCACTGCTATTTCAGGAGAAAGAACTGCTTGAGGCCAGAACTAAAATGAACGATTTGAAACAACAAATGGAAGAGAAAGAGAAACTTCTTCAGCAGCACAAAGGCAAGCTGTCGATTCATGCTAAGGAACTCGCCGAGGCCAAAGCCGACTTGCAGGAAGCCAATAGTATTATTGGCATTCACAGGGCGAATATTGAATCGCTGAAAAATGAACTTACTTCTATGAAAAATATCTCAGGAAGTGGGAAGGAAAAACTGATTGTAACTGGCGAAGAACCCGAGAGTGATCAAGTGTTTAGTTTGAAAACAGAGGCCAGTGGGAACGAAGGCAAGGATCTAGAATCTAAACTTTCAGCTCTTATGCAGAAACTAAAGCAAAACGAACGCGAGTTATTAGTGAAGACTAGAGAACTCGAGAAAGCGAACGAAAGTCGGTCGAAAGTGGCAAAGTACACTCGGTCTTTGTTGCAGGAATTGGAGTCGAAACTGAGTAACAATGAGAGGAAGCTTGCAGAGACCGAAAATCAACTTGTAAACAAAAACGTAGAACTCGAATATGAAAAGGGAAGACGGCTTAAAGTTGAGGAAGAGAACAACAGATTGTTTTCAGAGCTTGAGTTGTTATCTGATGAAAGGAAAAAGGATGGGCTTTCGAAGGAAGTCGTCGAACTTTTAAAGAGAGCAAAAGAACGAGTCGCATCTGAAAATATTGTGCCAGTTAGAGAAATGTCTGTGGAAACTGGGCTAACGTCAGTAATTCCGAAAACTAAAGATGACGAGAAAAGAACTAGTAATGGTGTCTCATACGTCGAGGAAATTGATAAATTAAAATCAGTTCTTGCTTCAGCGGAGAGTTCTTCGGATCAGAGTGATAGCGAGACGAGCTTTAGGTCGGCTAAGAAAGAAACTGATCGTCTTAAGGATCGTTTGAAAGTGCAACAAAGAGATTATGACAGTTTACGAATCGAGAGTAGCAAAATTAAGGAAGATTTGAAAAAGCGGGACACTGAACTGGATTCCTTGCGCAAGGAGCTGAGAAAGTTGGAGGATAGAAATGCAGATGTAGTTGAGAAAAACAGAGAATTAGAAGAAAGGCTTCAAACTGTGGAAAGCGAACTTACAGAAAGTATGGAAAGGGAGATATTCCTTCAAACTGAGAATGAAACCGATGAAGGTGAAAGATGGGATGTGAAAGAACGTATTGTGGGTTTGGAGGAGGAGGTGTCAATTTACAAAGACAAAATTGATGAACTGGAAACAAAATTAGTTGAGAAGGAATCCAAAAATGTAAACGTAGAGAAGGATAGAAATCGTGTGCACGAATTAGAGCGTCTTTTGAAAATTAAAGAGGATGAACTGAAAGAAATAGAGAGGCGTAATTCTCGAAGAGAACGAGAGTTGAAGAAAGAGGAGGAAACAAAACGAGATGAAATGGAGATTGAATTAAGCCGAGAAAAGCTCCGACTTCAAGAACTTGAAGAGCAGTTCGGTCAGGTCCAAAACGCTTTGGATTCTGAACGAAATAAGTCGAAGGTAAAGGAGAATGAACTTGAAGAACTCAAGAAGACAACCAGTCTCATGGTGTACAGAGAGGACGCAGAAAGACATATAGATGAGCTCGAATCGGAGTTGAAAGAAAAAGAAGATAAACTCTCTGAAAGAGAGTCCTCTCTGTCCATTGCTAGCGAGAGAATCGCCGAATGCGAAGAAAAATTGAGGAATTATGAATTAAAGGCTAAAGAGTTTGTGTCAAAGAATTCGGCTGATCTGGAAAAGAAAATTCGAGAACTACAAGAGGAACTGGAAGACAGCAGGGAAAGGTTGGCCGCAGCTGAAGAAAAACTGGAGGATTTCGAAGTGGAAGAAAAACTTCTCGCTGCTGAGCTTCACAAAAGTGAAAAGGAAGACAATGATAAGGTTGACGAGGTGAGGAAGAAGTTGACGGAGGCAGAGGAAAAAATTAAGAAGTACGAAGATTTTGCCAAGGACAAAAATTCTAAACTTATAGCGAGCGAGGAGAAAGTCATTGAACTTGCTGAAGAATTAGCGAGAAGGCTCGCCGTGGAACAAGAAACGGCTGAGTGGATTGAAGGTGTTGAAAATAATCTTACTCAAAGGGAGAAAGAGCTTAATGTCACGCGAGAAAGTTTGGTAAACAAGGCCAAGGATTTAGACAAGGAAAAATACAGTATTTTAGACGTTATGGAACTGTCTATGAGGTACATTAAAGAGTTAGAGCTGGCTGTAGGTGAGGAGAGAGAGAATGCCAAAGAACTCGAGCGACAACTGGATGATGAAAGGGCACGTGTAACTCAAATGGTTCAAGAGATGAAGAGCGTCGAAAGTGAAGGAAATAAAAACCAAGACGCTCTGAATGACAACGCAAGCGTGGAAGAAAGGTTATCTTCTTGCGAGATAAGACGAGAACTAGAATCCACTCGAGTGAAGCAACTCCAGACAGAACTTGAAGACTCCAAGAGGAAATTCGCCGAAGAGCTGAGTTCGGAAAGGGACTCGCACGTAAATGAGATGAGGAAGTTAAACGAGGAGGCTTTGCAAGTCTCCGGAGCCGCTAATTCAGAAGCCGATGAGTTGAAATTGCGGCTGACTTCCCGTGTGATAACTCTACAGTCCGACATCAGCGAACTGAAGGCTGCGCATCATCAGGAGTTGGAAAAACTACGGGCTCAACACAAGAAGGAATTAGAGAACGCCAGACGGGAAGCCATCTTGGAGACCAGTGCTCGTGAAGTGATACGAGAAACTGATGAGGACATGGCGGCCAGAGTTAAGGAAGTGGAAGACGAGATGAAAGAAATGACAGAAAGGTAAACAAAATTTCAGTAGCTGTGCTTGTTTTGTTGACAGTACAAGGTCATTGTACGCTTTAGTGTCACGTGTTTTCACGTGTAGTGATAGTAATTGATTTTCTAGATATGAAAGTCAAATGGAGACACTTAAGAAGAGCCATTCTCGAGAGATGGACAAGCTTAAGCGGAGCAGCGGAGACGGTGTGGATGGGCTACAGACAGAAGTGGTCCAACTACAGGTTGAGATGGAGAACATGAGCCAGAAATACATGGAGGAAATTGAGAATCTTAAGGTTTGTTTTACTAGCATTTTTTCTCGGCTCTCCTCCGCCACGGCCATTGCCTTCGTGGTGGAGGCTATGCCAGGGCAGACAGTGAATATGTTGGCTGACTCCTCTGAAGTTAATCTTGATATAATAGTTATGGCATAAAACTGTAGCACAACATAATAAACTCATATCGGCATGTTTACGTCAGAAAGTTGTCCCAATTTCTTGTTAGTATTTGATTTTAAGAGTTTTTTTTCAGAACTCGTACCTTTTTAACTCTTCACTGGTATTGTTATTTACACGATTCCTCTTCTTTTTCTTTAGGTTCAACACGGAGAAGAACTAGAACAACTCAAACGCGACATGGCTGTTGTTCTGCAGGCGTCTTTAGGAGCAGCTCCTTCCTCAGCCAAAGACGACTCCAATGTCCAGCTGCTCAAGAACAGAATTAATGAACTGGAGCAACAAACAGAAGAACTCAGCCGGAAGTACAACGAAGAACTCAAAGCTGAAAGGGTAGATTATTTTGTCAATATCTTTCGGGGTAAAGTTAGCGGCTAGCTTCCTTCAATTTCCCGGCTCATTTAACCTTACCTTCTTCATCTCTTCGTTTACAGGAAAAACAACAGCGAGAAATTGAGCAAACGCGTAACGACATGATGACAGTGATCCAGGCAATCAGATCGGAAAAGTACGCCGACGTCGGTAGAGCAGCTTCTCCGCGCCATCTTGAAGACCTGCCTGAAGAATTGGCCAAGATGCAGGAAGAATACGAGGAAAAGATCGCTAAACTGCAGGAAGAACATGAAGAAGCCTTGAGGGAGGCGAAAGGATCGAAGACAGTTGTTTCAATGAATTCCATGAAAGGAGAACAAGAGGTAATGTGACATGACATAACTTTTACGCTTTGACTCCTAAGAGTGACTAGCATTCAATTTCTCCTTAAAATATTACTCCAGAATCACTCTTTAAGGTCACGAGAATAAAGGAATTGATCACCAACTGAAGAAGCTCTTGATTATTAAACAAATTCTCCTTGTGAGCAGCTTAGAAAATAGACGGAGAAAGTATGGAGAATATACATACTGATGTAAAGTGGTGTAAATGCTTATAAGAGTTTAGCTTGTTTTTTCTCTAGGCGATGTCTTTACATCGTCATATAGAAATGTTTTGCGAATTTATGAAATTATAATTCAGGGGATCTAAGCGAGTAGTTTACCGTTTACCGCTTCACTTTTTTATTGTGAACAAAGTAGGTCAGCTATCAACTCAAATTTTTCACGCGAAAAGATCGTAGTTTATTTTAATCGTTGTACTTTGTTTGTAGAATGATTCCCAGCTTAAAAAGAAAGTCAGACAGTTAGAGGCGGAGTTGTTGTCGTGCAAGGAGGAATTTCAGAAGCAGCTGCAACAGAAGGACACCAAACACGATGAAGAAGTGAACTTGCTGAAGGCCGACATGTTGGTAGCCCTTCAAGTGGCTCGGAGTGGTAATTTGCCCCCAGCTGGAGCTAGTCAACCAGATTCCCAGACTTCTAGCAGCACCATTACTCACGGAGGAACAAAGCTCTCCTTAGAGGTTTGGTGCACTTGTTTCGTTTTTGATTATGACCGTGTGGCATTGATTTGAAAACTTGTCGTCCGGACCATCTTTAAAGTTAAGGAAAAAAGCTGTTTGCTCAAGAGTAGAAGTTAAGGAAATTAGTCTATGGGAATTTTCCACCGAGCAAGAACGTTTCCTCTTAAATGGGATTTAAGCTCTGTCGGCCGTTTCCGTCCTGGTGGGTCGTACTTTCGCAAAATTTGCTACTTGTACCCTCCTTTCTTCGTTTATCTCTTCCCTCTGCGCACGATTTTTGTTTGCATATTGCCAGCTTTCGTCCAACCATCGTTTGCCGTCCCTCTTTGTTGCATTAGTAGTCTACTTCCCAGCCGTTGTTTGTTCTTGTTACATCACGCGTTTTCTCTCTGATAGAGATGGATAAGACAAGGTGTGTTGCGTGACAAAACCAAATAAGGACTGAGACGGGGACTACTGTCACACTCGTTCGAAAGTAATGAGAATTCACGAAGTTTTATTTCATGAGCTTCTTTTGAGTAATTTTATCAATTTCTTGACAGGAAGCTGTCGCGAAAATCACCAGTTTGGAAAAGACAATCGAAACCACCAAGAAACAAGCTAAGAAGGAAAAATCTGATTTGGAAAAAAGCTTGAAAAAATCCGAGGCTGCCACAATGTTTGGACTGAGACGAACCGAAGAGATGAGCATAAAGATTTACCAAATGCAGAAAGAAATGGAAATTATTGACCGCAAATATCAAAAGGAGATTCAAATGTACAAGGACGCGTTTGAACGAGAGAAAGAGGAGAAATGCCAGCTGGGAGACTGGGAGACACTGTCCTCCGAGAACGACAGTCTGCGACTGGAAATCGAAGAACTTGATTTGAAAATCGAAGAAATGGAAAATACACACCAGGCCGAGATCAATATGTATAAACAAAAGCTCGGCGAGGAGGAAATGCAAAGTATCGAGAGCTTAAGATTGAAAATCAAGAGCTTAGAGGATGTTATTGAAGAACAAAAGTTAGAGCATGAGAAAGAGTTGGAAGATTTGAAACTGGAAAGAGACGCATCCGTTCAGGAATTAAAAAGACGACACGAAAAGGAACTTGAGAATGTCAAAAGTGAACAGCGAGTGGTGAACGTAGGGAGTAGCCACACGCGTGCCACTTCTTTCGATTTGCAACAAAAAGATCTAAGAATTAAAGAGTTAGAGCTCAAAGTTGAGGAGCAGGAAACTCTTCTTGAGGTAAAAAGAAGAAGACACAAAGAAGAGATAAAAAGTCTTCGTCAGAGATTGGACGACGAAATGCAAAAGCACACCGAAGATGTTCGGTCGCACCGAACCAAGGTTCGGATGCTGGAACGACGCAAATCCGAACACTCGATCTCTTTCGGGTTAGTGGACGACGATTATAAACGGATGTACGATGAACAACGTTCGGAGAATATTAAGCTTAAGTTTACTGTTGAGAAACAGAAGAAGGAGTTGGACGATATGCGCACTGCTTTGGCAGCTAAAGAAGAGAAAGCAGCAGAGGTTACAGAGAGAAGAAAAGCGTTTGGTAAGGGGATTTCTGAAATTATGAATAGTGTGACATCGTGAAATCCAACGTATTTCCCTTTTCCTAACGCAACTTTCCTTTTCAATATTTTTATACACTTTTGCAGGAAATAGATCACTGTCTGAATACTTTTTTAATAGATCAATTTATTTATCGCTTACGTGAGAACACTTGAAAACTTAATGACCCATGCTAGGTTTTTTTATTTGGTATCAGCGACTTTGAAACGGCTTTAATCGTAACGGGCTGTTTGACCGTAGGGTGATTCGTAGCTGTTGTTGTCCTCATCACGCCGCACACTCACATTTATAGAGAGCGTGTTGCCTGACGAGGCAAAACAACTGCTGAGTAAGGGGACTGCAGCTTGATAGCGATCATTCTAAATTTCTTTTTACGATGGTTAGTATTGTGCCTTTCACATTTCTCTCCTCTTGTTCGTCATTCATTGTCTCTTTGTTTGATGGTCTATATTTAGATAACCAATCTGCTAGACAAGAAAATTCATTATTGAGCTTGAATTTTGACCTTGTCTCTTTCAGGAGAATCACGGCGCCCTGTTTCAGATTCCTTCCCATCGGGCTTTTCGTACAGCCGGACCACTCCAGCCCAGGACTCCTCCTCCCAACCCGGCAAAGTGCCTCTGAGAAAAGTATCTTCGGATAACAAGTCAGACTCAGATCCTGTGTGGAAGAAGGCGTCAGGGGGACCATTGTCAAGACAGGCGTCCGAGGGAGGGTTAGGAAAGCATGATGTTGGCAAGGGGAAAATATTTACAAGGCAACTCTCTAAAGGGGTGAGTGAGCAAAGTCGATTACTCGTGAAATAAATTTGTAGATAGTGAATTCAAGACAGGTTGACATTTGAGTCTGCGTTGTTTAGTTGTTCTGAATACGTAAATCCACTCATTATTGTTATAATCAAAACTTGGAAAAGTGGTAACCACGTTATTCGTCGCTTTCATTTGAGTTTCAAACATTTAAGGGGACATTTTCTTGCTCTCTATTACTTGAACGACTATCTAATTTTGTTTCGTGAACGTTTACATCAAACATTTGTACCAAAGCGTACGATAATAGTTCTTACGTTCGCCGTCAACACTTTGACCGATCTGTTATCTTTGTGTTTTTCTCGTTATGACGGCTATCTTGAATCATCAAGGCACTGGAAAGTTGGGAAAAGGGAAAACTTCCACGAAGGGGGGGTGACCCTGAATCAAACAGTGCGGCTCGGTAAACGAATTCGAGCTCGTAGCGCTAATGCATTCCTCCTTATTGCAATGCAAGCTGGGTAACTGCAATCACACTAATGTTTTAGTCTGGTTGGGTTTATAGGTTGAAGCTCCAAACATGGGCTCAGTAGCAGCTCGCGTGGCCTTGTATCAAACTGTAGGTAGGTATCAAGCTCTTTTGTTTGCGAAAGTGGCAGTGATGAGCGAATAGTGGGAGGAAAGAAAAGAGAACGTGATGAGATATTTATGAGCATTTTCCTAGTGAGATTTGAAAATAATTAAATCCGAAAGAAATCCTCTCTACTTGTGCTTTACGCCCGTTTTCTGAGTTTTCATGGGCTCGTTGTGAAGTTTTCCTTCGCTTTGTTCGAACTGTTTGATTAATATCTTAGCATTTGTGTATTTCCTTCTATGTAGATCTCCATGAAAGTGTCCTGTCCTATAGCTTTGGATCAGCAACAACAAAAAAACAAAAACAGTAGTTATTTAACATTGTACGTAGTACAGTTAATAAATCAGTAGATAATAGGAAACAGCAAAAAACCAGAATTCTTTTTCACTTTTCTTCTGTAGCTTCCAAGTTTAAAGATAAAGATGAAAAGACAGGACAAAGGAAGCCGTGATGTAAATCAATTCTTGCTGAGGTAATTTTTTAATGAAGAAACTTCCGGCTCAGCAAGTTTCAGGGTTGGTCCATGTTTTAGTCTGTCTGTCCGTCCGTCCGTCCGTCTGTTTCACTGTCTGTCTGCCTGTCTCCCTGTCCAAGTGTCTGTCTGTTTCGGTGTCTCACTGTCCGTCTGTCTATTTCGCTGTCTCCTTATCTGTCTGTTTCACTGTCCATCTGCCTGTCTGTTTTACTGTCCATTTCACTGTCTGTCTGTGTCAGTCCATCTGCCTGTCCATCTGTATGTCTGTCTGTCTCTCCTTCTTTCCGTCTGTGTGTCTGTATGTTAAACATCTAATTGACCTCTCAAGTTAGGCAGCTAACCATGATCTGCTTTTCGCAGTGATGAATTGGTTGCGATGGTTATTATTGTTTTTTTTAACATTTTATAACATATTTTTATTAAGTATTTCTTTTTCACCTAATTTTCAGGTCAAATCCTCGCTCTCAAGCAAAGTTCTGCTCAACTTTGGCAAATATTCCAAATTTGAAATACAATGTAATTATGTACAGGAAAAACTCTATAAATGTATGTAAAACTAAGTATTCTCGCTTAGGCGAAGAGATACTTAATATTTTGTATACGAGTTTATTGTACCGAAAGTCTGAATTTGCGAAAACAGTACAAAAGGATGTCATCCAGGAATGAGTAATTTCTGTCCACAGTTTGTCAATCGAAAGGTATTTTTGTAATGATAATATGATAGCTATTTTTATAAGGTTCCGTATCGTGAAAGATTCATGCGGTAACCATTTCAATTCAAGTATTTCGTTTAGGCTCACTGGCGCTTGAGTTTAGTGAATAAACTTATTTACTCATATTCTGTGGTCACGAGCTCTTTGAAAAGTACTTACCTTTTGTTACTGGCGTTCAAATGGAGCGGGAGAAAGTTGGCCGAAGTTTACGGATTGGTTTAACGGTATTCAACATTTTCGTCTTTGTTATTTTATTGGCTCTCGTACGACGAGGTGTTCCTCAAATGACTGGATTAAAAATCACCGCTCGAAGCGAACACGCTACTGCTACCTGTTGCAGCGTCGCTATCGCAGAACAAATCCTACATCTAAATAATCTTAATTTTTTACTAACTCGTAAATTTTTTCAAATAAGTCCACTTGTTTCCATAAATCTTAACAGAGAGGAGCTGGAAAAAGAAAGTCGCAAAGTCTCAGAGAGAAAGTACAAACCCGTACTTTACGACCTTGATAGTATCATGTATAACAGGTTCATGTTAAAGGATAGATCATATGCAGTTCTGTTAAAGTCAAGTTCTTGGGGCATTGTTCGTCTTCTTTAGTTTCGGCACCCTCCACCCGTGAGATTTCAAGTAGTCCCGAACAGCTCGTGAAGTTATTTCCAGTGGTGGAAAGTATGGCCCAACTCTAGTCCGTTTCCACCAGAGTCCAGAACGTGCTTCTTCGCTCCCAATTCTTGTGAATTTATATAGGTAGCGTTCACCACGAATAACTCTAGCGAGGGAAGAAAAAACAAAAGTAAAGGAATTCAGCTTCATTTAGACCCAAGGGTTGTACAGCCTGTGGTGGGTGACGCGCTCAGAAGGTTGGGCCATTAAGTGACAGACACGTTTTACAGTAAATCGAGTAGTCTGGGTCCAGACTCGTCCCCAAACTCTCCCTAATTATTATTCGAAAGTAACGGAAGACAGAGCAGGTTGGTTGGGCCATAAGGCGACAGACACGTTTCAAAGTAAATCGATTAGTCTGGGTTTAGACTCGTCCCTTGTCCATCCGTAACCATTTTTCGAAAGTAACGGAAGACTGAGCAGAAATTACTTCATCGCAAAACTTGCACAGTGTGTTGTGTAGGACGCAAATACTTTAGACCTTCCCTCACGTCATGCGCATTTGACCAACTCTTCGAAGAAGTGACTGGGATCGAGTCTGAATGTGAACAGTGTCGTGTAAGGCTCACGGATTGAATAGACGACGAAAGGATGGGGCGGGGAAAGCGACGAACGCCAATAGCTCGTTGGACCATTCTCTGCTGAACAAGTCGCACGCGTTTTCCAAATGCGCTAGTATGAGTTAGCGACAATAGTGACAATAATATTACAACCAAACTAAACAACAACAAAGATAGCATCACTATGCAATACTTACAACGGAGGAGTACCATTAGAGAATGGGTTGTGAGCTATCAATGAAGTGGCCTGTTCATCATTAACAAGAAGTTTAGCTGCCAGGTGTATCAGCCAAGGGTTGTACTGAAAGTTCTGAAAAACAGAATTAGGTTTGCGTTTAGGGAAATACCATAAGCAGCCAATGAGAACTCCAAGTAAAACAACCAAACTGCCTAAAGCGTGGTTAAACGCGAGCGAACAAGTTTTGATTGGTTTTAGTTTTGCATCTGATTGGTTAAGGGGGTGGCGTGAATTTTCTAGACCAATCACAGAGTGAAGTAAATCTAAAACAAAAGCAAAAAAGGAAGTAAAGCCTGCACTGTAGCCAAGTGGCCCATCCAGGTGGAGCTCATTCCGGTTTTCAAACAAGATACGCCAAGGAGTATTACTACTCCCCGCTGGATGGGATGCCTCACTCTACCAGGTTATTCCAAGCATTTTACCAGGCTTTTCTTGCAGTTCTCTGATTCCTATTTGAAGAAAAAAAACTGCTACCACTGAATATATAGCCTTGTCTTTTTCACTGTTCGGATCGTTGGCGGCGTCTTCGTATTTAGGCCTCTGACTTATATTATTTCTAACAGGCGAGCCATTTTTAACACTAACCTGAAAAGCTGCAAACCACATGAGCCAGTCCAGTCTGTAGTGATAAGGTGAAATGAGACAAGGCCGCCTGCGGGGGTCACCTGGTTTGCATTTAAACTGATATTCTTCCCAGATCCCGCCTTCTTCATCCGGTATTACTGTCAAATTTCTAGTACCTTGGAAGATCACTTCGGTTCTTTCTTTTGTTACACTAGGGAAAGGAAACACGATTTCATATATTACGAATCCAACACTCGCGCTGTAACCAAATTTTTAGGTTTGTGAAGAAACTAATTTGCTATTGAGTTTGTGTGTTTTGCTTCGCATGTCCCTCCAGCCAATCAGATGTCAGCAAAATTCAGTTCAGTTTACAAGTCTACAAGTGAATTAACGAGAGGGAAAATCAAAGAGTGGAAAGTCGAATACAATCAGAGCCCGTGTGGATGAATCAGGGCGTTGGCAAAGCGTAGAAACAAACCTCTGTGATCCTTACACTGGACTAGTTTTGACCTTTTAAGAGCAAATTTGTTTACATTGCCGAATTGATAAAAAAGTTGGAGATTGACATAAGATACATGTCTATAAGACAAAAATCGAGAGCTATGAAATTTGAAAGCCCGCTAGTTCTACGCTTGAGACAAAACGAATTGAATGCAGTGAACAATACCTGGCTTACAAGGTTTTGAATTTTGTGTTACTTAAAGTACCTTCCAAAGGCGCCATAAGTGTTCACAATCCTGAAAGAGTCGAACGATGTGTTCATGGCTTGTCGAGAGGACAGAAGATTCTGCACCACAGGGATACTAAGATAAGCTAACACGAATCCAAGCATGAGCTCAAACACACGACGAACACAAAGACCTACAAACAAAGACAAGCCGCAAAGAAACAAATAAACAAACAATTGATTCGTACCACGTACAACTAATTTTTCACACATTTTCTCAAATGTTTGCTCTTATAGACACACTGTATATTTTGACTTTCCAACAGCAGACGAGAGAGACTGATTTGCCGAGTAAGCTTTTTAATAAATTCGATTGAGTGTCCAAAGTAATTCTGGATTGCTTCGTTTTTGCTTTATCTCGCTCTGTGATTGGTCCAGAAAACTCGCCTAACTCTCTCAACCAATCACGGCTTGGTCGCCGACGTTTTCCCGGGCTTTAGGTAGTTTGGCCGGATGTACTTTGAGTTCTCATTTGCTGCTTTTGGTATTCCTTCCTTCTGATTGGCCAATTAGACTACGTTGATTTCGTCAGAGCTCTTCAGCTACTATCTCATGTAAAACAAACCGATTATTTCAGCTACTATCTCATGTAAAACAAACCGATTATTTCAAGACTGTCTAGACCTGTACATACCCCAGGTGGGTTTTGATGCAGTTGCATCAGTCTTTTGGAGATGCTGTATTCTAATCACTTCTCTCTTGGCTGATGATGAAGAGAACAAGAAAGCCAGGCTTTTGTCATCAAAGCACAGGAGACTGGGAAGAATGGTCAGCCAGTTTAGGAAACTCAGGTTGCCACTGATGATCAAAATAACCTAGCTTAACAGGAGTAAACAACACAACGACCTCAATGGCTGATCAAAAATTTAATTATGACCATAATGAAACTCACTAGCCTCAGCAGATCCTGTAATTTTTTAACAGCATGGGTCCAAACTCTGATTCAGAAAACACAGCAGTATTTTTAACCCCTAAGTCTAAAGAAGCTAAAAAAATACTTAACAGTATGTAAAGTTTAAATACTTCTGGTTGAGTAACAACAGTTTTTTTTATGGAAGAATTGTGATTTCAGACAAGTAGAAAAAATACCAGGGGGGAGGGGAAGTGGGTCAAGGAGTTTGAACCCCAAACCTAGATTTATCACTGGGACAAAATATGTTCAAATTTTCTCTTCTTAAAATAACCAGGCTATGAAAATTAGCAGACTTATAACAGTTATGATCCTAGTGGTATCTAAGAGGATTGTCACAAATGAATCTGAAGCATGGTCTAGCTTGCCAGTGAATTCCCTGAAGCTCAGAGTCAGAGTTAAAATCCTTGAGGGTAACTAAGTTTATTTTCAGTTCCTTGCTCCTAAAATGTTTAACATCTTATGGGACAGGGGAATGAAAAGTTGACAATACAGAAAACTCACCTGAAAAAGAATTTGTAAAATGCCACACCAAATTCGAAATCTTCTTGTCAGAAAGATGAAAAATGGAACCACCAACTCAATGAAATGATTGACCAAAGTTTCACTCTTGTGGAATATCTCTGGAGACTGGTGCATAAAATAACTCACAGGATTTGGCACTGGCTGAGTCTGTCAAAGATTGGATGAAGATTTTTTTAGGATTACATCCACTCTTCCAGTTAATGGAAGGTCATCAAAATTAATTACCTCATAGTGATAGTTCATACATGTCAGATCCCGCCAGCATTGGTCACCTCTTATCTTGATCAGTCCCTTAATGATAAAAAGCATGCAATATTAGAATTACAAATTAATATACTCCAAGGGAACCTATCATTGATCCTTCCTTTACAAGTTTGAAATCAGGTACCTTGGGTTAGTGCTTTGGAATTTTTGCTTTTGCATATATTTTCTGTTTTGTCCTGAGCACCTCGGAATTTATCTACTGTAAAAATTCTTACATCTGAAGATGCTGTTCACAACTGAAGTTCAACACTATTGCTGACAGTTTTCCTATACCTAGGGTTAGGTCAGAGCTCTGCCTATGGAAGCTTAATCAATATCATTTATATTTATTTAATGAAACAATACATTATAACTAGTTAAATCAATACTTCTTGCCAAAACTTACAGCACCAATCATAATGCGAAAGATAAGCCATCTGTATCCCCACACAACCACCAGAGGTGTTGGTGTGTAACTGGGTACTTGCTGTAATTTAAACACTGGACACAAAAAGATGGCTAGGAAACCAGTCTCAAGAAGCTGCGATTCCCAACCTACAATGAAAAAGAAATTAGTTTGTATTTAAAATGCAAAACCAACTATATTCTACAAAACCAGCTATGTTCTAAAAATCCACACAAAAAATATGTATTGTGATTACACTTACCAAATGAGTACCTACAACAACAAAGTAATAGAAAAACATTTAGATTTACAAATGATAAATGTATGAAAATCTACCAACAATCATTTGTGTTGATTTTAAAATTAAGCTTGATTGGGTATTTGTAATGCAAGGTTTGTTTACCAGGCAGTCCCATGGTAACTGATATACAAAAAAAAAAATTGTGCTCGCAATTATGAACTTTAATATAAGTTTTCATCTTTAATACCATCCTTACTTGCAGTCACAGGTAAATTTCATTATAATTATTCATGGCCTTGTTTAAAACACCTCAGTTAAACCCTTTGTCTTCCAATATCTAAACTGTACTTCTCCTTCTAAGCTGCTATGTATCTTCTTGTTGATCAGTCATGAGAATTTGTTGTTGTGTCATTATAAAACCCTGTAGCTAATGAGTCTGTGTTTTTCATCTCCACTCTTCGGGATGCATTTGGTGATATTTGGATTCGTCTTCTAATATTTTTAAGCATCTCATGTCTTTGACTCATTAAAAGTTGACAGGGACAAGACACCCTATCAAACACTTACCATCTTTGCCCAATGTTGACAATAGAATGATAGAGAACCCACAGTAAGGCCATAATAATCATGTTTGCACATCCTGATAGTAGGATGAGTCCTGAGAAGAACATCCCAGTATATGCCAAAATGTCCAAATGCTCGTCAATCTTGGTTTTGTCAGTGAAGAGTAACAAGGTTGGAACATGAAGGACTTTTGTCCACCCAGCATCATCAAAATGTTCATCAATTTTTTTCAGATATAAGTCTGATGGAAGAAGCCCATTTTTTCCTAGCAACTGTTTGTTTTGATTCAAGGCAACTGCAAAAGCCACAACTGAAAATAAGAAGAGGAAACTGTCCATTAAAAAAATTCAGAGATCAAATTGACCAATCTCTTGAACTTGATCATCGACTTAAAGGTGTTTTGATACCACAAATGACTAGTATATTATTTTTATAACAATTACAAAGGAATATTATTGCATGTGCTCTGTAAATTGGACACCACAGGAGAAACCCACAAGTATTTCATCATCTATAGTTTAAAAATACCAATGTATTGGCATTCTCAGACCTACCACAATGATAGGATTTTGTTCCCATGAATGTATGCGAGGAGAAACCATAATCATGTCTTTTAACCCTTTCACTCCCATGAGGAACCGAGACAGAATTTCTCCTTACAATTGTCAAAAATGAATACAATATCAACCAGATAAGTGATGAGAATTAAGAAAAATATAAATTTGGGGATCATTGGTTGATACAATACTAAATTCTCTGAACTAACATTAAAAGAATTGTATGGTTGACAGTAAGGAGAGTTACAAATTTGATCTGGGAGTTAAAGGGTTAACCGAGGTACTTAAACTTAGGTCATTTAAATTGATCAGACATCCATTGTACTGATCACATCAGCTGTTTTAATGAACATGTACAAGTCTACAATTCTACAGTCCAGCACTTCACATGTGGGCCTAAAACTGAACTTCTGGACCTGTTTTCGGGAATGATGACGGTTAGATTTTTTCTTTTGAATTCATTCCCCGTACAACAATAAAGTATGCATATCCCAAACTTAAATCTTGGAAATACTTTCTAAAAATCAAGTTTCTTTCAAATTTTGTTAATCACATAAGTGAGTAGTTGAAACAACTTACAATAAATAAAGCCAAGTGACCTCAGAAACACGATCCTCGTCAGCCAGTAAGTTCCAGGTTCCAAATCAGTTCGCCTTGCCTCAGCTGACACTTCCTTAAAGTCCTTTTGATCGCAAGATTTTATTTCCTCAACTTTCTTCGCGCCTTTCCCTCCATTAACAGACCCTTTTCTTTGCCTCAGGCCCTCAAGTAACTCCATAACAAACCACACCTCTCTAAGAACATTAAGACTAACGGACTAATTTTTCTAAAATAAGACTTTGGAACCCTCGATTTGCAGTTCATGCCGCCATCTTGGATTCACATGAACGACAAATGGCGCGAAGCGATTGGACCGAGTCAACTTAAATAAAGGTTCAGTTGGCGGAGGAGAGCAGAGCGGGCTTTATAAAGAGTTTCACTCAGAGGAAAATATTTTTAATTACTTCTAGTGTAACCTTTCTAAGAGGGAACGCAGGGAGACGCTTAAAACACGATTTTATTCGTCACGCAACGTTCAAGTAACTTTTTCGCGCAACAACACTTGTAATTAACAATTATTCGCCGAAGGCCTATTGGCCAGTAGCAAGTTGTCCTGAAATGCTCATGTTGACAAAATAACTAGTAAAGCAAACAGGATTCTTGGTCTTGTAGAAAGGACGTGCAAGGGTATGGAGGAAGAAAATCCGGCAGGGCAAGCGACAAAAAAAACCGCCTCCACCTCCTTAGCTCAAGGTCTGGATCCGCCCCTGTATAAGGTATGATATGGTACCTCTTCATTAAAAGGGATGAACTCTACAAAAGTGTCATAGAACCCATACAAAGGTAGACCACCCAAAAGAAAAGGGGTAAAATTTATATACATATATATATTTTTTCCTTTTGAATATTGTTAAATAATCCCCGAGACGAAGCCGGTAGTATAATGGCTCCGGTGGGATGCGCACGCTTAATTGGTCATGGATTGCGTCATATTCAATAGTCCCCGAAACTTCATCTCAGGGATTGTTCAATAACACTCACTTCGCCTTCGGCAGATTAAGGAAGGAGTGTCGGCAGGAGCGCTAAATTTCAAAATGGCGGCCTCGCGTTTTGCCAGTTATGTTATCGAGGAATATGCGTGACATAAGTACCCACCGCTCAAGACATAAGTAACCTGCAGGCCGGCCTTTTTTTTGCATTTTCGGGAAACGGAGACAAGCACAAGGCAAGCGCGAAGTGGGAGTCACACGCCATAGTGGGAGCTGCGCTTTAACCAGCCTGTCTCTTACCATCACTCACTTACTCACTTGGTGTCCAAATTCATAACTTAGAACATAAAGGAAAATTGCAAATATCAAGCCAATCTTCACAACTAATTGTATTGCCAATTTAGAGGGCCGTAGCCAGACTTCAGAACAAGACGAGGCAAGTTTGGAGCGCCGAAGGCGCGAGCCGCTAGGTAGGTTTGGGGGCATGCCCCTCCAGAACATTTTGAAATCTGGAGGTTCAGAAATGCTCTTTTAAGCATTTTCCGTGGCATTTTTCTTCAGAAAAGTCAATCTTGGGCCAAAATCAAGACGAGGCATTTGCCTCGTCTTGCCTCATGCTATCTACGGCCCTGATTTAGTTGGAAATCATAGATTAGGCGAAATGGACCGACTGAAATGAAATCGGCAAATGTCATCTGAGTTACAAAGGAACAATGTAAAGAACGTAAGTTGCAAGAAATATTTAGCAAATTTTTATACCAATATTTCCCTTGACATTACACTGCTACCAACTAATACCGTTTAGCAGTATTATATTCACAGCTTGAGGCCAACATTGCAGTTTGACAGACGATGATAACTCTGAATATAATTGTAAAAGAATTCATTTACGAAAAAGAGAGACTAGAGTTGAAACTCCGTAGAAAATATGTATTAAGCTTGTTAAATGAACCACAACATTTTGCTAAAATAAAACTCCGAAACTTCTTAAATTTCCAAGCAAAGGGGTAACAAATTTACGCGAACGAGAGCTCAAAAACAACCAAAACTCTACGAAAACTAAAAGTACGCGTCCACGTCAGTTTTCCAATGTCAGGGTTAGAGTTCTTTAACATGATTGGCTAATTTGTGAAATAACGCGCGCTGCGCGTGAATACAAAAGAATACAAATGGGGGAGATGAAGCAAAAAATTGTCACTTGAAATTTGAAAACGAAAGAGATTTTCTACAATGATACAAAGGAATCAAGAGAGTTGACTTTATCGAAGTCAAGTTTGATTTTGCAACGTGGTTTGTAGTTTGTAACGCAGTAATGCATTTTTTAAAAGCCAAGTTGTTCACTTAATGAGCGTCGTTCTTAACCCAGAGATAGACATGGGCTCCAAAGATTCAAAAGATTCAAAAGATTCAAAGATTCAAAAGATTAAAATTCAGTAGATAAATGCTTAACCTCGTGTGGAAAGTATCATGTGTGTGAAAATAGCATCCATCAAGGAAGAGAAGTGTCATTCAGCCACTTCACGCCGTGACTGGGAGGGAAACTTGTATTCCTGAGCTGTAAGTAAACGTAATGCCTCTGACTTGACACATCCTTCCCTTAAACTAAAGACGTTTATTTTTTGCTTTTCTTGTGACAGTTGTCAAAAAAGTTTCCATCCGCAGTGAAGCGGGCGAGGATCCAGGCAAGGCAACACACTCATGCGGCAATGCTTACATCCTGAAAGTGAATGGAAAGGAATCTTCTCCTTATCTCAGAGGCCAGAGAAAAGTTACTGCAAGACTCGCCGTGACTGAACTGAGATTCGTGTGAAAAAAGACAATGAATTTTTTGATGAATAGGTATGAGTTCGAGACTATAGGAGGCAACTTAATTAGTTTCGTTCATTGGCCATTCATTTAAATATTTCAGCTTCTTTCTACCATGAAGTGTGAGCGGATACCGACGAACTCTCAGCGAAACAGGATTACACCGTGAAATGCTGGGGGATAATTGCCTTACATCAGGAAGGAGGAGCATCATGCAACGAAAACTGGGAGCCGCTCAAGCGGAGTTAGTCCCTTACATGAAACGAAACGTCTTCGTTGTTTGAGAATTTCTTCTAACAACATACTCTATGAAATTGCGAGATTCGCAAGTCGAAATTTCTCAAACAATTCATTGCTTGTGCGACGCGAAGTTCAGGGCATGGCCACGAGTTGAAATTCACTGACAACGACTGCACGCAGGCATTTCTGAGCACCTTTTTTCCGTTATCCGAGCTAGCTGGTAGGGTTGTGACGTTTTCGAGTCGCGTTAACCTCTCGTGATATATGTGGGGCTGTCGACATCCAGCACACTGTAAAAAGATATACTTCCTCCATCTACCAGAGCGATTTTAAGTGGAACACGAGCGCATTCCTTTTTCATAGCGCTCATAACCGCCAGTGAAGGGGGAGGGTCACAAAACCTGAAAGTACAGAATTGACCAGTTTCATGATAAATTACACCTTAACCGTGGCCTGACTGACTCAATTAGGAGCGGGGTGGGTTACCGTGCATAAGGTCGAGGCTTCCGACTCACAGCAGACAAACATAGCAACATTTGACTAAATTAAATGAGGATTTTTAATCAGAGGACACCGTCAGGTAGGCACGAAGCCCCCTGTAAACGACACTTATGGTTGCGAAGGAAAAGATTGGACAAACTACATATAACAGACTCAAAAGTTCGACGTTAATTGAAGAATTCACTTCGCATCACGCTTCACAACCCCTTTTCTTCATTCCTTTTAAGAATGAGTGTGGATTTACAAGGTTGTATTCTTTAACGATTGCCCCTTCGCGAGTTGGGAAGAAACAGTTAAGATAGGGACCTGAAAGAGTTGGAAAGGAACCCAGTATTGATCTTATTACTAAGAGAAATGATATTTTAAGAGTCATAGGAATTGTAACCTTTCCTATTAGCACTACGATATTTGCGGTTCAAACTGAATCTGAGATTTGGAACTCTAGGAGGATAAATGAGGGCCCATTTTTAGAAACTTTTCAAAAGCAGAGCACAAGCACAAGTTACCTGCATACAGAGACACAGAAGTCTGGAGTCCCTGGATCTGATTTCTTGAAATTCAGCCCAGGCTGATAAACATCAAATGCTATTTGAAGAGATTGCTGTTTTGTGCTGTAGACCGAATAGCAGTAAGCAGACATTTTGAAGTCAATGACGAACCATCAGCCCATTACAGAGCAGTGGTCATAGTTATACACAAAGTGCATGTAACTAATGACAATGGTTGGGTTCATTCTACTCTTGGAATCAAGTTCACAATTAAATAACTAATTTAATAGGAACATTTTCCAAAAGACTAACATTAGTTTCCAACAAATTGTATTGCCAATTTAGTTAGAATCATAGACTGAAGACTAACATTAGTTTCCAACAATAAAACCAGGCAATCCAGTAGGATTGGTAACTCTTCCCCCCCTCCCCTCCCCAAAGTATAAATCTGATCACTCCACTTCAAATGTGCTCCTTTTTCCTATTTGCATAGGAAACAACATGATCGAGGACAAGTAGTCTTCTTTGAAAAATTTTACAAGTGCTTATTTACACCATATTGCATGAGAAATCATGTCGTTACTTGTTAAAAATTACTATGAAAAATGCATCACAGTCAGGCAAGATGGACGAAATTTTGGAAGTGGGTGAGCGGAATTTGAAATTTGCATTTGTGTTACAACATTGTACTTATATCACATAAAAATGCACTCATTTTCAGCCAATCAGCCACAAGTGATTTTTCATGCATATTATTAGGTACTTTAATATCACTGTCAACTGCGTGAACTACCAAGCCTTAGCATCTTTAAAACTAAAATCCATAGAGTTGACCTAGCCAGCCTAGTGGAAGACAGTCAACTGCTTGTCCATGTGATTTTTTTTATCTGCATTGTACAAGTTTTTTATGTTATCTGAACATTGTTAATATTTCTAAATATTTTAAAATTTTAATGACTTGTTATTATTATGATACAATGTTTTTATTAATTTTGTAATAGAGCCCTTAGCTCTAGGATAAATACCCTAAAAAGTTTTATTATTATTATTATTATTATTACTATTATTAACAATTTTGGCCTGTATCCTCACTGCTTGCCCATGGCCATGCAGTTGCAGACTTTTCTATGACTTGATATTATGCAATGAGGTAATGAGCCCTCTGAAGGATAGCTCCCTAAAATGTTTAATACAGAGGTACCTTAAATCATTAGCTTCAGTCATCCTTTGGTTTTTGATTACTTGTAGCTTGGACAAAACTGCAGCTAAAAAGGCACCAAAGTAATTTTAGAATACAAAAGCTGAAACTCTACTAGAGTGTTAAGGGCTTGCTTCCGGTGGGACCCTGAAGTCCATTTCCAATCATCCTTGCTCCTTAGGTTTTCCTCCATATTCTCTAGTCTTCTTCTCTCCAGAATAAACAACACCCCTAATTCCAATTCCAATTCAACTTGGAGACAAAGGCCAATAGGAGCATCCCCATGCTTATCCTTGTTAATCTGATTCTACTGATTTTTTTGTTAATTTAGCTCCATAAAAAGACTATTAGATACAAGGTATCATTTAACATTGACACATCTCAAGATTTCAATGAGTCTATTTTGAACACTACATATACATGTGACATACCTGTTGAGGTGGCATCCTCTGGCCTCACAAGGGGTCTACAGCCATCTTCACTGGTCCAAAGGTGGGTAACAGGAGATGACGCCAGTGGTTTGCTACCTTTACCATGAGCAGCATCAACACTTCCTTCACTTTCAACAGATGTTACGGCTTCTTGTTGTTTTTTCTTCTCTGGGCTGACCATATCAGTCTGTGTGTCTGATCCATGTTTTTTTCTAAACAAGAAACACATTCACAGTGAATCTGACACCATATGCATAGTAAATTTAAATATGAGAGGCTGGTGACTTAAATTTTCATAGAGTTAGAGATATTCAAATATTCAACAATAATTATTGACACATACCTCAGGTTCTTGCTTCTGAAGAACATGTAAAGGACATGTATAAGAATTTAACTATACCTTGATTGATGTCTTAGAACTGTGAATCCCAAGCGCAGAAAATAAGTGTAAACCTGGAATAACATGACACAACACAGAATTTCAAAAAATAAGAAAAATTAATTGTTACAATAAATATCAAATGTATGGAATATGTTCTTAGTGCTGTCAATAAAAACTCTAACACCAAACATTTCATTAGTGTGGATACTTCAATTCATTAGTTTCAAAACCCTGAAAAACATTAAACCTTCAGCACTCATCATTAAAAGGACTCAAACATATAGAAAAACCAGAGATTACAGTGTACAAAACTTGGTGTCCAATACAGGGAACCATTAAGACATTACTGATCATGGCACACCTTTCTTCAAATAAAACAAACACAATTTCATTATAAGTATTAAAAAATAGTAATATTTTATTTCCACCAACCAGATAGAAATCAGGAGAGAAACCTTCAGAGAGCATAGTCATATAGGCCTACAGTGCATCAGATTAAAAATAAAAGGAAAATAAACTTTATGTTATCAGTGATAATACAACTTGGATACAGGAAAGGAAATGATCAATTAGAAACACTTTGATAGCATTTCTACATTATAAGGTCTAAGCAGACATCGTTTTCAACTTAAAGAGTTCAAGCTTTACACTTGCACATGCAGTTCACTCTGAGATATGTTGAGCAATATATGCACATACTAATACATGCATAATGTATACATATACTGTGGAGATTTGTAAATGTATTTTGTTTTGAAGGAAGGAAGGACTTATTATTATTACTACCTGTTGAAAAGACATTGGAAGTCCACCATAATAAAGTGCCAATGATCCCTGAAGCATTAAATTAAAGCAAGTTATCATAAGTAGGGATAATTGCAAAATTTTGCCATTCAGTTTATTTCACTTTTGAGAATGATCTCAATTTATAGAGTGTGTTATTATAAGATAAGAGAAAGTAGACATCCTGTGTGACTGTCTGTCTCTTCTGTGAATTAGGATATAATTAATAGGAAATTTAAATGCAACTTCTCCACTTTACCAAAATATCTCTGGTCAAAGAGAAAAAAAGAAGGTGAGTATGGGTAAGTATGGTGGGTCATTATAGCTGGTTCTGTGTGATTTTGCTTATAAAAATAAGATAGTACAAAAGAATACTCAGAAAAACAAAAATGAATTAATCAAATACCCAAATGACATGCAATATACCTGTTCAAGAAGAAAAAGAGCTTCATGTGGTTGTAGTAACATTTTGCCATGTTTTTGATGTCCAAAGTGCTGCCAGTGAGGACCCTGCAAAAAGGGAAGGCAACTTAACCTTGATAGCTTGTCACCTGAATCTGTTATAACAGAGTTCATTTCTAATGTCAAACACCTGACAGACATATGCAAGAGACTTTGACAAGTACACAATTGGCCAAGGCCTAGATCCAGACATATGGGCTTTCATTTATCAACTTTTCTCAGAATGGTAGCCCTTCCATCACTTTATGGTGGAACAAAAAAAACTTACACACTAAGCTCTGTGGAAATATGCGCTAGAACATAAATCAATGGGCAAACAATCAAACAAACCAAATTTTTTTTTTAAACATTATGAATGCATTTCTAGACAACTATTCACCTTTGTTACTGACATCTCCACAACTTTTTCACCAGGAACCCATGTGCCTACAGATAAGTTGCTCCTGTCAGAAACATGAATCAAAATTGCAATCACTAATTGTATTAACTGACGTTTCGGAGTCTTCATGATGCTATTGTCAAGGTAAACGTTAGGATAATGAATTCTGCAAGTAATGATAACTGCCATAATCTTACATAATAAAGTATGCAAGATTAAATAACTGAAATACTTAAACACTGATTAAGTCAGATAGCATGTTCAGAGTTAATTTTAGTTTTCTGATGAATAACATCTCATGCATTAAGCAATCAAATTTATTTTTGCATTTCTTTAGAACCGTGAAGCAGGGACCTTGCCATGTTTGTCTTGGTAGTGTTTAAACCAAACTAAAACCAACTCCGAACATGCAATTCGACTCAATCCACGTTAAAGTATCCCTGTAATTTAATCTCGCATTCTTTATAGAGTAAATTTTTTGCAGTTATTAATGGTCGCAGAATTCACTATCCTCGCATAAATTGCCTTGACAATGGCGTCATGAAGACTTCAAAACGTCGGTTCATATCGCTGTTATTTACGTGTTTATGTATAACTAAATCTTAATTGATAACTAATTGTATTGTATAAAAATTATTTCAGTAAGTGAACTTTACATTCAAGTTCTAATCTTAAAGTCATTCGCAGAAAGACATGTCTTTAAATTCCAAGTCATAATAAGTAGTTTGTTACCCACGGTGTGGTAAGAGAGCAAAGAAAAGAACTCAATAAAATATACTTTTTTGCAACTCTTTGTTCCTGTAGGACATCTCCATGTTCCTGAAGCAAGGACGACAAGATTTTGTCATCTGCATCTACATCCGGAGCGAATGCCTTGGGTCCTCCTTGCAGTGGTAACTGAGAAGGTTTCTTTTTGTGTGCCAGTAGATCTTCAGGGCTAAAATTTGAGCAGAGATTAAAGGTATTAAAATGGAAAGAAAGAGCCTTCTTCACTTAGCACAGCACTAATGGGTGTTTTTCTGGGCATTTAATGACCAAAGTGAGATGAGCCAAAAACTTTACCAAAAACTCGTTCTCAAATTGCAAGAGCAAGGTCTTACCAGAATAAAATATTCAGATCAGACATGACTCTTTCTTTGGAAATAGATACTACGTCCTTTCAAACAACATCCAAATAACTAGAGACATGATCTTATTATATAAAAGAGGACAATCTCGTACACAAAACAGCCGCCATCTTGGCTTAGTATCCTCGCCAGAGGTTCCGTATATTTGCGGGTTCCCAGTCTTTACTCTATGAGTTCACATCAAGCGAGCAGGTGCGCGCATCAATCTTTATTGTAAGACTACTCCGTGAGCCAGGCAAATCCTGTATTTACATTCGCTACTCGAGTGGGCAAGATTAGATGAACCTGTCTTACAAATGCTTGAGGCCGGTGTGCATGCTTCACAAGTTCAAGGCTTTCTAGTTTTTTCTGCTAAGAGGAAAAAGTTTTCTAAAAGTTTAAGCCAAGTTAGAGTCGTAGAATTTTTTTAAAACAATTATAGCATAGAAAACCGCGAAAATTTATCTTATCTTATTCTAAAGTTCTACGTCAAAACCGCAAGGAGGCGTCCAATAAAACGGACAGGCTATTTAATGAGTACATCTATCTCTTGCCAATCACTAACCAAACAGGCTCGCAATTAAGTTCTGCCTTTTGTAAACATTCAATATATGTTACAGAGTTTCGGGTTTCTCGCCAAAAAACGATGATACATTCTTTAAAAATAGATTGATCGACTTTGTCACTCTGCGTTACAGATATTCTGTTTGGATCCTAGAAGGTAGTTAATTAGAAACTTCGTGGACAATGGCCAATTCCAATGACATGGACAGTCACTAACACTGAAGCATGGTTTTAAAGTTTCTTCTCCTTTACTTGTTTCTCCTAGATTTTCAGGTAATCGAAGTTCTGAATTAAGACGTTTACTAAACCAAAAACTATCAAAGTTTCGCGACAGTCTTGCGAAAAAAGGAGCTAATTGGGCGACATCAAAGTATAATTTTGTTTGATTCAAACATAATCTTTCGTCCAAAGCTATGAATGTTTTTGTTCTGTCCTTAGGTGCAATTAAGTCAGTTTTGTGCAATTTTTTTTTATCTAAAAGAAGAAACGTGGTATGATTAGTTGAAGGTAATAGTCTAAATTTGAGCTGAAATGAATTATTAATTTGATCGGTGAAACGAAAGACGAAATCTATCTTTTGTGGTTTTTGATAATGAAGGAAGAAGCTATTTTCTTTTTCCATCATTGCAGGAGGGTTTTTTTACCTCTGCGTTATTAGTGTCACGAATCAAACTTTTTTAATTGGGCTCAAATTTACAACAAACCCTCTTTTTAGTGCTACATCTTCGTGAAAAATCTCTACAAAACCTAGGCCAACAAATTTTTACATTATTCCTTCAACAGATATAAGGTGTGTGCAAAATACATCAAGTTTGTATATCATAGCGCAATAATATAATTTACTGCGCGTGGATTTAACTAGATCACTAAACTTCGAATCCAAAGACAGAATGAGGTAGATGCGATTTGTTTCGGCAGTTGTTTTAAGTCAAGCAAAATTTCTCATTGTCTAGTTTCATTTTCCTAAGAATGTTATCGTGGCCTGTGTTGCGGCTGTTTCTGCAGGCAACCGCTACACGTCTATCGCTGGCTTTCTAACTCGCCTTTTTTTCTTTTTTTACCAGGATCCTGGAACGCACTAATCTATTATTTTAACACTGTATCTTGTTTTTCTGTGCCACAGTAAAATATTTTATTTCTTTTCAGGCTCAATCATGCTTTGCACAAAACGACGTGTTTCTTCCATCAGCCAAGGTGAAGACGTTGGAACCCGAGATCACGACCTCGACTCCTCTGCCCGTGACCGAGAGGAACCTGTGGGGAATAAGAATGTGGCAGGTGGCGGGATTAGCCTTCCTGTCCACCGTAGTGCTTGGTGAGTGTCTACTGATAACAGCGTCATCCCAAACTGTAAACCGGCTTCTATTGGGAAGACACCGAGGCCAATTTACCTCAACAAATGAGTTCATACAACGAAATTATTTTGTAATAACCCTCACTGACGCAGCGCCAGTGTTTCATTAGAAACCTACCCATGGGGACTGGGGATAGGGCTCGTCCTCGTCTCACCGGTTTTTAACTAAGCTTATGCGTTTGATTTTAGTCATATTTTGTTGCTGCCTCTGTGACTGTCGTATCCCTAAGACTACTTATGACAAAGAGGAAAAGCCACAAGAAGACAGTGACTGCAGTGATATTGAACCAGCGGTTACCGTCCGTCTAGCACCAGTGGTGACACAAAAGCAAGAGCCTAAGGGCGAGAAAATGCTGGTTAACGGTTCCTCTCCCCAGGAACGTCACAGGGGCTCCAGAAAACACGAGATAGGAAAAGCAAATTCCGCTTTTGAGAACGACGGCGAAAATTCTGCTCTGCATAATGAAAACTGGATAGGAAAGCCGCGTATTTCATTCAGCCGGCAGCCTTAAAACATATTACGGTGTTGATATAAACTGAGGAGTGCACAGAGCTAAAGAAAAGCGCTAACGTCCCAATTAAGACAACGCATAACTTTATTTTAATGGAGATGACTTACTAGTCTTACGGACAAGTTCAAGTCCGTTATACAATTACTCCCACACCTTTCTCAAGAATAGTTTAATCACATTCTACTGCGACTAATATCAGTTGTAGAGGTAAAATTTAGGTTTCAACGACAAATGAAGCGGAAACATACCCGCATACATTCGTCATCTCTTCCGAAGAAATCCTTGACACTTTTCTATAACAAGTGGTCCTTTATAGCAGCCATCTCTATTCTAAAAAGTTTCTACCTTTTGCACAAATATTACAAATGTCATACTGCAGTTTGCACGCAACCTCAGGTGACGTTCCATTACCATAAAATAAAAATATTTCCTTCCAAAAAAGTGGTACTCGATATCAAGTTATATTCTCAACATTCAATAAAAGTTTTTACTACGATCAAGAAAAACAGAATGTCACATGTATCTCTAAATACTTCATGCAATTGATCTGTCATTAAATCGTATAAAAATTATCGTACAGGTATTCACACCTGATTGTCATAAATAATCAAATAATTTAGATTAAAAAATATAGATGCCTCCGCTAACTTTCAATATAAAACAATCAAGATCTTTTTGATAAAAACGCTCTTTGCGTTAGCCGATAGATCTATCTATCTACATGTTCAAAAGATTCTAAATAGCCTTAAAAAGTAGGCATAAATGATTAAGTAACCCTTTTCGGCTTTCGTATTAACAAGTTTTAAAATTTTTCGCGGCAAACGTGTATTGCTTAAAGTTTTCCCGCAAAGTGATACATCTTAAAGCTTCTCAGAAAAGTCAGGCGAAGAAGATGACGTCACTGTCTTATTTCAGAACGCCATACTGTTGATCTCGCCTCGTCCTCTTATGTTTGGAAGGTCAGTGTTGGAGGATACATCTGATGATGATGGCGGAGAAGCAGCAGTTAACAACGGATTAGCTCCTACTGAACTGAAACGCCCGGGTTTCCACGAATCCTCGAAGGAATGAAACTCCATTGAGGACCGGTGCATGGCGTTGTACTGAATGAGAGGAAAAAAAACAGAGTTAACTCTCACATAAGCAGACATTCGTTGAGCTAAATTTTAAGTTGGTACCTCTCTGAATCAAGGATAATTCATCGATATTTCTCTCTGTTATGACATTTAACTTGTGTACAAGGAAAATATAATTTTATAAATCACTTAATGTAAGTTATGAAACATTGATCGTCAGATTAGAGTTTGCAGTTCATCATAAAATTTAGATTAAGCAGAGGATAAAACGGAGAGCCCGTGCAGCCACAAACTAAAATGACTACCATTATACCAGTCAGCGTGTTCGTGACTTTGTACCGCTTAGTTGTCCGCCAGTCAGAGGTCAATCATCAGTAGTTAGTCACTCAGTAAGATGCTAAGTTGCTCCGTCAATCAATTGGTAAGTCACTCAGTGGTTCTGTCAGTCAGTCATTTGGTAAGTCAGTCAGTGGCTTTGTCAGTCAGTCAGTTGGTAAGTCAGTCGGTGGCTCTGTCAGTCACTTAATGGTAAGTCAGTCAGTGGCTCTGTCAGTCAGTCAGTTGGTAAGTCAGTCAGTTGGTAAGTCAGTCAGTTGTTCTGTCAGACAGTCAGCCAGTTGGTTGGTAAGTCAGTCAGTGGCTCTGTCAGTCAGTCAGTCGTTCTGTCAGACAGTCAGTCAGTCACTCTGTCAGAGAGAGTCAGTCAGTGGTCCGTCACTTGGACGGTTAGTCAGTCAGACAACCAACCAGTCCACCATTCCCCAACTCCGTCGGTCAATTTCTCAATAAATCAATATCAATCAGTCTACATATTCATTACCGTTGGTGTCTGCAGATCGTTGGGAATGAGGGGTACAGACTCCGTTCTGGGATCTTCTTCCGAAATAGACTGGTAAGGAGTTCCAATGGGGGAGTCAGAGCTGAGCAAGATTAGGTAAGAGGAGAAACACGACACAAGTGAGTATTCACTCAACCACCTTAAATACACCAGTTTCATTCGCAAAGGACAGAGGAATGTTTAAAACGTATTTGGGCATGGGAGATAAGACTGGAGACATGTTGTTATCGGATTGCTGTGGAAAAAAAAAGGGGTAAGCTTCTAAAAAAACTGTGGTGCTGCGTCGGTGGAGGAGTATAACAAGATAGCTTTGTTTCATTAACTGAGTCGATAATGTAAATTGTCCCCCGTGAAGAGTTTTTTATCTGATTTTCCGAGCGTTGACCCTTAGTCATGGTGAAAGTATAGCAAAACAGTTGATATCAGTAGCACAGTTCTGATGTACAAAAGTGTAACATTGGGGTAAAATTGAAAAATTTATTTAAGAATCAATTCTTATTAGAATTAAGTCAGGAAGTGAAGGAAATTGGTTCCTATCTTGAAATTATGTCACTTCGGTCGATTCGGACGCATTTCAAGCAAATTTTCTATTACCCATGATGAAATGCGGCCAAGCCCTTTTTTTTTGTAAAAAATGCATAAATCAATGTTTAAACCACTCACCCACACACGTGTAAAATGCTACGGTGCTTTCGACCCTTGGATGACGGAGTTCTGGTGAAAGAAGCAATGAGTATAGGGTTGTCATAGCAATTAATACAAATAAGGACAAATACATATACATGTACGCATTGGCCAGCAAAAAGTATCACTGGAAGGAAAGCCAAATCTATATCAACCTAAGACTTGGATGGTAGCTTCCCACGTCTTTAGCAGATTCTTTCGGTCGCAAACTTAAACACGAAGAAAAATTCGGGAAAAAAAACAGTTTTCACACTTCATTTTCTTCGTTCTCGTGCAAAGAGGAAAACTTGAAAGCTGTTAAGTCCCATTTCCAGAGAGAGGGAATATCTTGCGTAAAAGCCCAAGAATTAATGGCCCATGTTTGACGTTTGAACATGGGTCATAAAAAAAGAAAAATCCTTAGTCAATTACAATTAATAGAAGCTTACTCAGGTAAGCATTTTGGGTAAAATTTAGAACACAGAGCAAAAACAGTTTTTAAGTTCCTTGTTTCACAAATCACTTCTCTACATGACTCTGCCTAGAGAGAGCCTCGATCTTGTGTTCTAGACCCAGTCTTCAACCTCTACCTACGACCACACATATCCAATGTGGTGTATTCTCATGTGAAGATGCAGTATGAATAAAAGGGTAAGTTTCTAAAGAAACTGTGGTGCTGCGTCGGTGGGAGAGTATAGCAGGTAATTTAGTGTTAACAACTGGGTTGAAAACGTAAATTAGCCACCGCAAAGAGTAAAAAAGCTGACGTTTCGAGCATTAGCCCTTCGACAGAGCGATGGGAATATGGCTGCAGTACTCCATCGCTCTGACGAAGGGCTAACGCTCGAAACGTCAGCTTTTTTACTCTTTACGGTGGCTAATTTACGTTTTCAACCCAGTTGTTAACACTAAATTACCTGAAGATGCAGTAGTTACCTAAGTAATATGGGCAGCACCAGAGTGAGGTTAATGATGAGGAAAAACCCAATAAGAAGAGTCATAAGCAACAGTTCAGCAACACCCTCCCTGCAATGGAACCATAAATATCATTAAACAGTACATTTTGTTTACTTTTATACGTTTATTCACAAGTTTATCTCTCCAACACCAACCCAATGCCTAAGAAAAGTCCACTTTTTTAATCCCCTGAGCCGAGTCTCTCTCCAATTTGTTTTGGATGTCCAGAGACTAAAGCTTACAATAGTGTTTCCCTTACAACCAGACAGTAAGGGTTGATTATTACAACTGTGATTGGAAGGCACAGTGCTCAGCATTATGATTAGTGCACTGGCCTTTTGATCAAAAAGTGTAGATTCACCAGCAACCTCTGATAAAATGTCTGGTGGTGAGCTGTCATATCTTGGCATCCCATTCAATGGGAATGTGGTTGCAGTACTCCAACTCACGAATGACTTAAAAACTGGGATAAGCCCTGAAGGGGTCAGCCAATGGCTCAAGAAAATACCTCACTGTTGACAAATAAGATCTCATTGACATACACTAATTGATTTGTTATACTTACACTATGTAATAACACACAGAGTACTGGGCACACTTGAATTGCTACAATTAAAAAAAATATATTTTACACATTACAGAGCAATACATAACTGTCTCTCTTATTGCAGACTGTAACACTCAAACAGAAGATAAAATATCTAAATGTGTTTGTACGAAGTAAATTTCCTTGTTAATCCACGATGGTTGGTTTTTTTACATTTTTTTCCCAAGAAAAACTAAATGAGGGTATATATTATCCATCTCTTTGCCGTGGTGGAAACTTTGTTTAGGAAAAGCAATAACAATTGAATCTAGCTCCAACTCCAGAGCTGTTTGATTTAGGATTATTAATATCCAAACAAATGTTCATCCTCTGATCAAGAAAGTGAACAATTCAGCTTGTTAAAGCTCATTAACAGCTGAACTAGTCTCTCACCAATGGCAAGTTGATAAAGACCATTTAACTCCCCTTTTATTTTTATCTTTTAACCAAAAAACAAAGTTTCTAAACACATCTTGACCAATTTTCTCCCCAGTGATGTAGAAGAATAGGGGTGACAAAACATTTATAAAACAAGATCTCATCATCAAATGAGAAATTCTGAGTAAATCAGGATCAATCTGGAATTCCATTTCTTTCCCTTCGCTTTACTTTGTACTTGGTCTAAAAATTGTGTGACCCTCCCAACCAGACAGATGCAAACAAACATTAATAGCAACTTGGTCACAAGTTTTCCACCACTTTAGTCAGTTTCCTCATTTTTATCTTGAGTTTGCATCATCTTCAAGTGATATTTTCTTTTGTTATGATTTGCCATTTTGATCACTCAGATTTTGGTTTCTCGACATGCATTTGAGCAGTTTCATACCTCATGTGCATATCCACAGTCAAGATTCTTGGCTATGATGGACACACTTTCTTGTGACTGGTGCAAGTCCCAGTCACCTTTCGAAAGATTATCTTCACACTCAGGAGGCAAATGATCCTTCAATTCCTGAACATAAAGATTTTCCACATAACAATTGAGGTTTTGAGATTTTGACTTAATAATAAGTTTATATTTATATGTTAAGCTTCAATTTCATTACATTGGATGGTAAGACATCCCAGTTCTAACTTTTGTCAGTGGGGGGGGGGTATCGGGGTGGCATTTGAAGACCAGTATCATGTCAGGGCTCTACAGTTTGCTAAATGAAGTAAGATCTTGTGTACTACACTTTTTGGACAGATCGCTGGGTTAAAATGTTGGATAAAGGAGGTAATATGCTTTGTGGAACACAAGCACCACACATACCACCCATTACCCCCATGGGAGATGTTAGTGGCCTACGCAGGTTAGAGCCCTTAGCCTCCCATCTACAAAATTTTGTTCAGTATTGGAAGATATCAAATGTATCTCATACATACATGTGCTCGCTCCATAAGAATAAGAAATGTTCTTAAAGCTTCCTCCAAATGTTCCATGGCCTTATCTGCATACTAAGTACAAAGAAAAAGAAAAATTTTATTCATTCAAGTAAAACCTTAACTATTAACCTCAACAATAATTCTACTTCCAGCAACGATTTTGTCAGGCTTTAACAATGCACCTTAGAGTTCAACAATTGGAGGGCTCAGAGCAAGAACGATCTCTTGATTTTTCGGCCATTTTTGAAAGTGTTCAGAAGAAGTTGAATTTTGGCATGTGGACACTTTCAAAAATGGCCGAAAAATTAAGGAATCGTTCTTGCTCTGAGCCCTCCAATTGATATTGAAACAGAGCATTGAACATCATGTACTTTTAAAAAGTCAGTAGCTTTAAAAGTTCTCTGACCTTTTGATTTGGATTATGTTCATCCAGTGGACAGTCCATATAGTATTTCACAACACCTGTGTAAAGAAATAAGACAACTCGATGCAAAAAAAATTTCACATCATAGAGAACCTAATGCAAAGAATAAAAGATTCGACTGAGGATGGGTTTACAGTAGTTTATTTTGTTCTGTGGTCAGATCATTCCAAGTACACTCCTTTTTCACACTATAGTCAGATTCTCTTACAATAGAAGTACAACCTCTCTTCAAAATAACTGTCTTACCATTTGCCCAGTGTGAACCCTTTAACTCTTAGGTGTGATCGGAGTCTAATTTCTCCTTACAGTATCATCCCTGAATCATATCACGTCAGGGTGGAAAGGGTCAATTGACCAAGAACAAACTTAAACTCAAAGCAATTAGAAAAAAAAGAAAGTACTAAATATCTTACCAGTATTTTTCAACACAGGTTGACTATTGACGTAGTAATTAACTGTTCCTTTAGGATTCACACACAGATCAGACATACCCTGTACAAAAACGGCTCGTCAGAAAATTGCAAACTAAAGTATCTTGCTGAGTACGCCTCTGACCATGACCTGGTAATTAATAATGGTAATAGGACTGAGTGGAGTCCAATTCGGTCTGAAATGATACATTCATGTGATTAACAAAATTGGATGACCACAAAGCGGGGGTCCAATTTGTCAATTATGAATATGATTACAGACACAATTGGAAGACAAAAAGTCCTGTTACCAATTAATCATAACCAGTACAATTTCTGAAAATAACAAATGCATTTAGGAAAAACATCTCTGGTAGCGACAATGCCTAAAGTAACAAAATTTCTCCATTTTGGAAATTCTTCAGTTTTACTAGGATAAGTGGTTGTTGCTATGGTTATTGTGCTTAATTCTGTGATTGGTGGAGTTGGTTAAGTGGACTTAGTATGATTAGATTCTTCAGCTGTGTAATTACAGGTGTCCGATTACAGCTGTACAGAATGATTTATGAAAAATAAAGCAGCTAATGCACCAATAACAATCGAGGAAATTGTAATGGTTATGATTAAAGTTATTTATTTGTGTATGGTTATGTAAAATACACTGTTATGAACAAATGAAGGGCATGTGACTTCAGTTTGTCATGTTAAGTCAAATATGAGTGCCATTAGCATTGTTCTGTGAGTAATCATCATAACTACTAAGCTTGTGTAAGACCTTGCAGTCAAGAGACTAAAGCAGTAAACAACAATTTCAAGATCAAAACAGTGTCAACTGTGTGGTTGTTGTAAAAGTGATTGAGTTCTGTAAGTGACTTACAACTGCCAAAGCCAAATCAACTCCTGCACCACACCAAATTATTAGGAGGCAGATGATTCCAACTAATATGGCTCTGCAAAGATACAAGTCAATTTAAGAGTAATGAAAGGAAAACATCTGCCCTTAGCAAGGTTTGAAGTGTGACACATGCAAAATATGACCTAGATAATTATATAGATTACAACTGAGGTGGAGACGTTGCCATAGTCAGCACACTGTGTACAATGCTGAGAGGCAAATGTGCGTTTAACAGGGGTTGGTGGATCCTGGGGGGGGAAGGGGGATCTACAGGGTTCAGTACTTACAGTACAAATCCACATCTGCTCCTTCTTAAAATTGCATAAATCACGAGCAAACAAGCAAGAGTGGTCAAACACATTGTACCAAAAGTAGTCCACCGTCTGAAATTCATAAAAAAATAGCTTATTTTATCATCTTGATCATGGTTTCTTGTAGAAACCCTTTATGAAACATTTACAAAATCTTCAAAAGTACAAAAAACAACAACAACAATAAACAAAAAACCCTGTATGTTGTAGACTGTTTCACTACCTTGCCACGACAATTTGGTTGACCTCGGGTAAGAGAGTGAGATTAAAAATGATAGTTATCTCACCTGTAATACTCAATGTCATGGATATATCCATTTATGGGAGGAAGATTAACTCTCTTTATTCTCACTAAACTGGTCACAATGCCTTCCAAGTAGATTCTAACTTTATCTATCAACTCTTCACCAATAGAAAATCCCGCACAGTCTGATTTAGCATCAAGGAGGATGCTGTCCATGTCTATCAGCTTATCTTTTACAAAATCAACCTGGAATATAACATAGTCCCATAAGATTATAGTTTGTTAAAAAAAAAACCACATTAACTCTTGACACCCTGACATCAGTATGCAAGTTTTCCTTCCTATTGTCTAATACATTTTTTAGGGTGCTGAAAAGGAGAATTTTTAGGACAATCAGGAGCTTCTTCAGTTGGTGATCATTGCCTTTCTTTTTGTGACCTTTATGTGCGATCCAGGGGCCACATTGTAAGGAGAAATTAGATGCTAGTCACCCACAGGTGTTTAAGGGTTAACCCTGGAAAAATTCAGGCTATGAACCTGTGCCTCCCTAATACTAGTTGAACACTTAACTACAATTCCTCTCAGAAACCTCTTTTCTGCAATGGCTAAAATTGCAGTCCATTTGCCAGGATCATTTCTTTACTTGATTTATATCTGCAGTTCTAGTGAAACTTATAACAAGGCGTTAAGATGTTGATCAGACATCTCTGGTGTAAAAGCCAAAGTAAACAATTTTTCCATTGAGACTAGATACATCTATGTAAATGTTATTTCTAATTACAGATGTGATGGTGTAATTTCAAAGGAATAATATTGATTACTTCAACTGCAAGGTCTAAATTTCATGCAAGAAAATAAAGAGACTTTATTAAACTAACACATGTCAAGTAACTTTGAGTAATTAGTACCTTTGTTTCTATTTCTAAAAGACTTTCATTCACATTTTCTGCTGCTGCAAGCACTCCTGTTACTCCTTCATCTATTGTTTTATTAAAGATAAATCCTGCAATTCCTGCACCACTGAAATAAATGATAAATTGAGGTAACAAAAAGAATAACAGTACACCATTTAAACTGATTCTTAAATTTTCCAGTACTTTTTAACTAATCCATTGATATGATTGACTCTGAAATAATATTTTTAAACTAGACATTTTAGTAATTAATTGCTCCAACAGAGTATTGAATATTACATGTACCAGTATTTCTTCCCTAATTAATTTGAAAAATCATAAACCAATATTATTTACAGGTACACCAACAGCACATGACATTTTTTATTTCATACACTCTTAACTAATACTAAAAAAAATTACCAACCTGCACAAAACAGATGTAATCAGAACAATGCATCGCAAAGCTATCACACATTTTGCTTGAGGTCTTTGGTGCTTATCACAGGAACACCAACTTGCCAAGAAATGTCCACAGAAGATAAGAAATACAAGACCACCAAAAAGGCATAGACCCAAGGCATAAAGGAATAATGCCTGCAAAGGAAATAGAAACTTTACAAGTAAGACCTACAAATATTTAATGGTTATTACAGTACTGCAATTAGCTTTGGGTTTAGTTTTAGGGTAACCTCAATGGCAAAGAACAATTTATCTTTTGATAGCACAATATTTGTCAAGTTGTAACTATTCTCTTGCACACAGGCAGCCTCTTTTCTGTTTTGTGTCACTACACAGTTTAAAAGAGGTGCCACCATCAATTAGCCATACAGACATGTCTCTACCTTCGGAAAAAAAAAACAATTAACCAACTTTTCAAACGCCACTCAGTCACCCCTTTGATCGACTTGAACAGTATGTCTAAGCTAATTGAACGTGGCGTCAAGAATCAACAGGTTACGTCTGTTACGTTTTATGCCTATTTATAAGTAGAGGCCGACCTGTAGCGATAATCTGGTACAGATGACATACATCAAATCAGGTAAGAAGAATCTCTGTATTTGATCGAATCTCTACAATACAACCCACACTCAGATTTTATTTCCACTTGAAATAAAATCAAGATCTTCATAAATGGAACCGAACAACGACTTTTAATGCACTACTGTAATTGAGCCTACGTTTGTCCAAGAAAGTCGCTACGTTGTGCCTGAGAAACGCATCAAAATAAATCTAATATTTTCCTACCTGTTGGTAATCTTGAAGAGTAGGAGCAAAAACAGATGAAACATTATGAAAATAAAAATTAACGTGCGCAAAGGAATGGAAAAATTTTGCAATCCATGGTAATTGGAAAGTATCATCAACACTACAGTTCGCCATTACTCTATTTCGTACCTTGTCTCTCTCTTCGACCTTCTGATCTCCAGGTCCAAACTCGTGATCTTCCCGTGAAGGCGTGGGCCTACTAGAGTCTTTATTGCAACTCGTATTTCTAAATAAGTGAGTTAGCCCTGTCCAATAGTATATGTTTAAAATCACTCACTGACAAAAGATTCCCCAACTTAAATACAAATACAAAAAATTTAAGAAACTGTTCAGCGCAAGGCTTACCTCTCGGCCGGCTTACCTTTAGGCAAGTTTCACCATCGTCCCACAGAAATTCGTTGGCTAATAACGACTCAGGCCGTTTGGTCAATCGGCTAACGTCTCAAGTAGATTAGTCTTGGGTCGACGAGTTCAGGTATAGGGTCAGCGAGTTTATAGGGACCTTGAGAAGTCAGGACGGCAACGCCAAGGAAGACGCTGATTTGAAAATGAATTTATAATTTTTGTTGGAATTTCGCGAATGACTTGATGTGTTTACCATCTCTTACAGCGACGCAAGTTAACCTCAGCATAACTTGGGAGAGCGACGTTGAGTTCCAAATGGAACTTAACTAATTTGCCGTCGTGGTTTCCTTTCACCAGGCCACACAAATTTTGGTGATTTCACTCTATTCTTTTACAGAGGACAGCCAAGGGCCTGTTTACATGGAGGTTGGGGACCCCATGGGTACCCCAGGTAGGTGAGGTAGCCCGCCTAAGTGGGGTAACCCGCCTGTCCATATAATTTCTTAATTTATCTTGATCACGTTTACATGATAGGTGGCTGGGGTGACCCGCCTGGGCGGGTTGCCCGGTCTGCCAGGTAGGGTAACCCTGTCAACCGGGGTGACAATTTGTCATGTAAACGTCTCAAGGTGGAGTAACCCGCCTAGCCGGGACCCCGTTCATGGCAAAAAGCTCAAAAGCGAAACACGTACGTTTTAGAACTTTGTACATTTCCTAGCCATGTCATGGCAGAAATCCCCAGAAACTGCAACGGACATACAAGGAGTATAAAGTGTTCCCATTTCGGAATATATGGCGTTGTAAATAGACCATATTTTAAACTATCATTATACGTAACGTATTAAGTCAATGCATGGTTCTTCGCGTAACCTAACACCGCGTAACCTAACACCGCGTAACACAACACGTACAAATACATACGTGTCCGAGAATTAATCTTTCGTCTTTCTCGAGACGTGGGGTTGGGACGAGCATGCTCAAACTCCCTAATTGCAAGCGCAACAACAACCTCAAGAAACCTCACCCCAGCACCCCGAGGTGGTAAGATTGTATGTAAACGCGTTTTATTATTGACCACGGCTAGGCGGGTTACGTCACCTATCTGGGGTCCCCTACCTTGTAAACAAGCCCTAAGAAATGTACACAGTTTCGAAACGCACGTGCTGAGCTTTTGTTCTGCCCGTTAGCTCTTTTGTTTTGCCACTTCCTCGTTGCCGTTGCTGTCGTGGTCTGCAAAAGGTGTCTAATGTCTCAGGTCGGCGAGCTATGGTTTCGGTTCGGCAAGGTATGTTCTCGGGTCGGTCTCGGGTCAGTCCGTTTATGTCTCGGGTCAGTCCGTTAATGTCTTGGGTCAGCGGATTCGTTAACGTCCTGATTGGCGAGTTCGCTGTGAAGGGAGAAAGGACATTCGACTTAAAGCGCAGGAAAACGCGAGTGGCCCAGTAGCGACTGGTTTTAGACTAGAATCCAAATGGATTAGAGTAAGGGGCGCGCGTTTTCTGGACCACTCACAAAGCGAAATAAAGCAAAACCAGAGCACCCCCAGATTAATTTTATTAGAAGCTCAATTAAAGAGAACTCTAAGGGTAGCCTCAGGGACTATGTAGAGGATTCGAGAAATTCCACAATGTATGGGTAACATTAAACAACATTAGAGATAATGAACAAAGACAGACGATTTTCAAAACGTTTTCATTCTATATTCAATGGTACTACCTGCTCGCAATTCGTTTACAGCGTCTAATGTAATCTTTTCTACAATTGCAACAATCGTGATTCTGAAAGCTATTCTATAAATATCACCTAAGTATTAGAAAAAATCATTCAACGCATCGCATCAAGACTAAATCAACAGCATATCTATTTACGATCCCGTGATCATCAGAGATCAAACTACAGAACTAGAGGAGAGCTAAAAATGTTTACCTTTCCATCTTCATTCTTGACCAGCATGGTAAAAGCCTTGAAGGCTAAATTGAAAATGTACTTTCTCTCGAAGAAAATGCTACAGCCAAAACAAATTTGATCAGCTATTTTTTCCTGATTTTCTTGTTTACTGACTTGCCACCCAAATAACATCCAATACACATAATTTTGTAACTTTTGATTGATCCTAAATATACTACAGCATTTAAGTGTGGTTAAAATGACATAAACTGTAAAAATAAAAAGTAGGTTGAAGAATGATGTTTATAATTTTTCTCTAATCTAAGACTCACTAAAGCGCTATGACACTTTTACAATGAATCCATGTAAACAAATCAATGACTAAATTCCTCTGTTCGCTTTAGTCTTAACCTTCCGCTCAAGCAAATGTTGATTTAATTTTCCTTAACTCGAAAGGTAAATTTTGCTAAAGAATCTTTGTTTCACTATTGTACAAAGTCATCACTGCTCTGGTCTATCTAACCTAGAACAGTAATTATTTACAACATGTAGTTGAGGATGAACAGTCGAGTCGTTCAGCTCACTCCACTGAGATATTTACATAAAAATGAGTTGTTGATATATGGATATGTAAAAAAATACCTCATTTACAACATTGTAATTACCACATATGTTATATAAAAATACTGTTAAGAGATAAACGATTTACACATCTGCTTTTTACACGCACAAAAATGAATTTACAATAGGGATATAAAACTGTTACCGTACAAAAATAGGGCCAAAAAAGGCCAAATAAACTTAAAACTGTCTTCTTATGACAGCTTTTGCCTGTAGGTATAACTGTATACTATTTAACAAACGTCTGTTTCGGGATGCGCGAGGTTTAATCTCCCTTAGAGAGAATATACATTACCTCTCAAGCAATGGTATGGTTGAAGATCTTGGAAGACATTTAATGATAAAGAGATTTGGTTAAGACCTTCAAGAACGTGTGCCCGTCACTCACTAGAGGACCTGACTATAAATTAATGGTAGATGTGACAAGAAGCTAGACGAACGAGGAGTATGTTGAAATGTGGGGTTCACTTGGGTCAAAATTCTCGTTGTTGTGACCAGTTCTGTCCATGTATAAAACAGGGGGAGGAATCCTTCCGCCGTCCGAGTGATCGCTGTTACCGTCTCGACTAGAACCGTGGTAAGACGGTACTGGAGATATTCTGCCTCCGAACACTGGGTCTACAATGTGGTAGGAGGGTGCTGGAGATACTGGAGATAACGGAGAAGGCGGGGTGTGATACCGCGGCGGTTTATTAGCAGATTTCATTTGAAGGCTGGGCAACTGTTGTGGTTGCCGCCTTCTACGACCAGGTTCTTCGTCATATTGAATTCTGGGCCGACCCATCGAATTCGCATTTGTCCTTGTATCTCGGTGGTCATTGCTACTGGACGACGCCCGATCAGAATATTTCGAGCTACCGTCGGAATCCCGAGGATTTGGGTCAAAGTCGAGCGCTCTTCGGAAACTATTCGACCTTGGTTCTCCTCTGTTTCGGTTCTGAATTTCCGTCTTCGGCAGGTAACCCATTCCAGTATTTGGACGTGTAGGTGACCGAGGTGGTGTACTGCTATCATCGTTGTAGTCCATCTGATCGCGTGATCTTCTCAATGAGCCCGCAGGTCGCGTGGCCCGCGAACGCGAATAGGGCTCTTTACGATCCCGATAAGCTGGTCTCTTTTGTTTCTGCTCGTAGTCCGGTGACATGAATGACGTCACAGCCTCGGGAGGTAGTTGAGACCTTTCAATTCGGTCTAACTGGTCAGCAGATTTGGCCATGAATCTGCGATTATCGTATGCTGGAGGCCCATCTCGTTTGTCCCTCGGTAGAGACATTGCAGAGAAGGACTTGAGAGCTCTAGAGATCGGAACTTCCTCGGGTGTGTCGGATTCTTCCGTTGTGTGCTCGATTAAGTTTCGGCCATTTGCCGGCCTTGTTCGGCCAAGTGAGTTTTTCCATTGCTGGTGGTTAGGATTGTTGGAGTAGTGGCCTATGAAATTAATATCTGCCTGTTTTCTTTTGTACGTCATCTCGGACACTCCGCTGTCACTGTCCGACGGCTCTTCTTTAGAGCCCAAGCTACTCGCATCTTCCTCCGGCTCACGATTAGCGTCCCGATAAGTACTGGGGAGAGGATAAAAATCAGAGAAACGTCAGACATTAAAAACTTGTAAAAGCAGTACAAACATGTAATAGGGATTATGAGTGATACAAAAGTAAAAATAGCCCGTTCCAGGCGAGCCCAGTCGGTAAACAGAACCGTGATGTTACCCGGAGTAGCGTACAGACAACTGCAGAAAATTTAGAGCTTGGGAAGAATGCAAATTCTCTTCAATCTCTCCTCTTTGTTCTCGCTTTTCTTCAGTCGCGCTGCAGCTTAGGAGACTGGAACACAACAGATATTTACAATAACACATACATTTGAACGCTTGGAAGAGTTCCACTTCTAATGGTTCCGTTTCGCGAGGTGTTCCTCATCACTTCAAGTGTGCTCTGTGTTGTAGAGGCCCCAGCAGACGAACCTTGATCTGCGTCTTCTAAAAAAAGAGGAATGGAGACGTTATTATCCTTGACCAGTCACAAATTCCATTAAGAGTAATACACAAAACAAATACAAAACCCACGGTAAGTAACGTGACCCTAAAAATGTTTCTGAAACCAGAGTGCTGTTTGCAACCTCTGATTCGATAAACTGGCTGCAAAAATGCTCTCTTCAAAGTTGATGCTGTAAGTACGTGGAAAGCCCCCCCTGCTCCCTTGCCAAAACCAACCCAAACTACCATTTCTGTTCACATTGATAGCGGATAGCCCACATTCTGGTTGTGAAATAAACTGATCTCATTCCTAGATAATTACCATTGAAATTAGTCAAAAGTAATCAATCATGCCTGCAATAACTATCGTATTTTGCGACATAAGGATTTTTTTTTCACAAAAATTGCTAATCACAACATAACAGCCAATCAGAGCATGGGTACATATCATCAGTAGCCAATGAGAAAACTGCTTAGAGCGCGGGAAAAGGCGAGTGACCATACCACGACTGGAGTTTGGTTTGCATATGATCAGTTCATTAGGCGGCGCGAATCTTTAACCAATCACAGTGCGAAATAAAGCAAAACCACCGCAAAACTAAGATTACCTCCAACACTCAAAAGAAAACTGCGCTAATAAAAATGCTTATCGACAAGACCGAGGTTTGGCTCTCTTCTTTTTCTTACCCTTTCTGCGACGATAGCAGAGGTATGCGAAACCAGCGATCAACAAAACGAGAATAATAAAAAACAGCACCATTAACAGAATAAACCACCACTGTTTGTAAATGATTCCGCTCTGAAGGTCGCTGTCAGCCGAACCTGCAAGGCACAAGAATTATTTGTAAAACGGATACCATAATCTCACACGGCGGTATAACAGACCAGCTCTAAATCTGATTTAAAACGGTGAACCGAACCGGGAATTTTGAGTATGTTTACAAGGTCTCCATCCCCACCTCAAACCCCTTAATTGGTTTTTTTTTCACAAACAGCTTCACAAGAGCTTTTCATGTATGGTCAAAAGGTACTGAAATCCATAGACAATCTCACAGCGCCTGGCGAGTATAGAAAGGCAATTTAATACTCACTGACACGTTTTGAGGCCGCGTACGGCTTTTCTATTCGCTCTTACTTCGCTACGTATATCATCATTTAACGTTCACACGAAATTGAGTCTGAGAGAAATTCACACTTTTCGTGATAAAGTCGAAGAACATTATTCTGAAAGGTAACTAACTGACCAGTAATAACTCTGTCTGAAGGTTCAGATGGCTTTGATTTGCCCTTCTCGTTCCATGCGATTATTCTAAACCTGTATCCAGTGTTTGGCTCCAGATTTCCAACTGTGTAGGACACGTACGATCGGTTCTTTCTTGTATCGTCAGGATTCGCTTCCCAATTGGTAGCAAAAGATTCTGATCCTGGAAACAAATAAAAAACTATGCTTTAACTTTACCCTGATTAAGAGTTTAAGAACACTGTGCGAAACTTTCCTGGAGGTTTAGTCCACCTCATTTGAGTCTATTTCATATATCGAAGTCTCTATCGAAGCCTAATGGCTTATCAATTTCAGAGCGTATTAATGAGAAACAAAAAAACACACACAAGATTGACAAAACTTCGCGGACTTGCGCTGCAATTAAGCAAAAGTATGATGCAGTACAAATGGTCTGGTGAGGTGATGTAAATCTCCGATAGGAACCTTTTCCACTTTTCCCAGCCCCTCCCTGAAAACTGGTGTTTTCACATCTATCGACAACAAAATTAGTACTTACCATCCGTCTGTGACTGGATCTCAAACTTCTCGAAAGGAACATTACCACTGTCCCCATTCACCCACATTATAACAGCAGTAATAGAGCCCGGATGTACCACAGGTTTCCCAGGTTGCCCCGGAGGTTCTGTAACAAAGAGAAGTTATATGACAAAGCTCAATCTTTTGTTCCTGTATTGACTTATTTGCACATACGGAATTATAGGAATGCCTTCATGAGTCTTTTCGTTGAACATGATTAGAATGCTGTTGAACTTTACACACATATGATATTATTAAAGAAATACGTCGAGTGTCAGTAGCATGGCACTTAACTATTTACACCCTAATGTTAATATTAACATTCCTCACAGTGTTCTCTCTACATTTTCTATGGTAATGACAAGGAGAATTTATTTAACAATCAGGAGCTTCTTAAATTGGTGATCATTTCCTTCATTCACATGATCTTTACATTTGATTCAAGGGTGAGACTGTAAGGAGAAACTAGAAGCCAATAACTCTCAGGAGTTAATAAATCATGGTCTGAGGGAGTAAAAATTTTATTCGTGTCATTCCGGCAGGGCGAATGAACACTCACCAGCAGGCCCCTTTGTTTTTGCAAGAAACTCATTTGGCGGTCCGTAACCCATGGAATTTCTCGCACGGAGCTGAAATGAGTAACTCGTCAACATCGCCAGTCCGGTTACTTTCATCGTTTCTCTTTTTCCGTCAACAACTATCTTCTCCCGGTCGCTGTTGGGGGTTAACTCCGCTGTCCTGCCATAGCTGATCTCGTACTCAAGAATTTCTCCATTCGGTTCACAAGGTGGTTTCCAGTACAGGTCTACGCGGGCATTATAGACCGCGTCGGCACGGAAAACGGCTGGGGGCTCGGGTCCTAGTTGGGCGGAGGTAAAATAAGATTAGAAGTAATGCAAAGAATAAAGATCCATTTGTGATGGGTTACATAGAGAGTACACATTATCTCCAAAATTCAGTTCTGGCAATAATAGTTCGAGGACAGAATTTTGCTTGCTATTTCAGAGAGAGGTGGAAGAGTGGGGGAGGGAAGGCGAGTGAAAAGGTTCGGAACAAACATCAATCAAAGACAAACAATATTCTCCTCAATATATCGTGCAAAGTTAACACTTACTGTCCTCATGTGTTGTGACCTCCAGCGACGTACTTGGCGGACTCTCTCCTTTGGAATTATACGCTCGCACCCAGATTCTATATTTAACATATTTCCGAAGGTTAGTGATGTTGACGTTGTTCAGGTGAGGAGGGACGAACAGCAGCTTGGGTCCAGGTTCTCGCGGACATACTCCAGCCTCCAAAGATCGTCTCCTCCTGCGGCGTCCTTGAGTCAGAGAGAGGTCTTGCGCATAAACCTACAATCAGAAAGAAATATGGAGATTAAAAATATTTGCATTACTGAGACAATTGACAAAAGAACACTGCAGTAAGTTTCGTAAGTCACGCAACACGCGTTACTGACCTTGTATCCCATAAGATGTCCATTGAAGGAAGCTGAAGAGGGTGCGATCCACCTGACTCCAATGGATGTTCTTGTCACTGTACCCTTTGTTAAATCCTTAGGAGCTTCCGAAGGAGCTACACATCAAGACAGAAGAGCGACACAAAAATAACTTTATTTCATACTTATTGTGATTTACACATAGTTCGGCCAATCAGCGACACCGAGGATGGTACGTTGCGCAGCATCAACAAACTCACTCGTCCGCTGCGCTCACTCGTTCGTTTTTTGATGCATTGCGATTCGTGAATAGAAATCGTTCGTGCGCACTTTTCATGGAATAATCTCTCTTACTTAGGTAAAGACGTCTTGGCAATCCATTTGAGATAACTCATGGTTCAATTCCCATTGTTATCCCTTGTTGAAACGATCGTGGCACATATTCTATCTGCTATCAAATCATACAGAGCACGATTGTCCTGGAATTCTTCAAGCGTCAAACGCTAGCAGAATAAATATCATGTTTCTTAGCGACCCCAGCCCTACCCTACAGGTTCGACTAGAAGTCTGCATTAGTCTCACTCGACAATGAAGAAAATAAAGAGAAATCGGCCCTTGCAAAGTATGATTCTGTTAAACAAAATAAATCTAAAAATGTTTACATCTAACATCACACTTACGTTTCTCTCCGGTTGTCACTCTGTAAAGAGGGGAATAGGGCCCAGGTCCCTTCTCGTTCACAGCCGCCACTTTGATCTCGTAGACCGTGAAAACTTTCAAGCGTTCTAATTTATGGTTACGAGAGTTGGCGTCCAAGGAAACCTCGCTAAACACACTGCCAGCGGCACTCTTTTCTCTGTGTTTTAAAATGAACCCCTGTAGAGTTCCACCCAGCTCTTGTGGAAGTGGAGCCTTTGAATTTGGATAAAAGTCAAGAAGTAAGAAATTGTTTCGTGACATAAAAATGCGAAAATGACGAGCACAAAAGGGACCCCAAGTTTTACAGATGGTGTAAATCTTAAATGAAAGAAAAATAAGCCCACCTTCCTAGAAGATCCTATGTCAAGTTCAATATTCCACCCTTCCACCTTCTCTTTAGAAGTTCAAGTTGACAATTTTAGGCTTAGGCAAAAAAGTCTTTTAAACACCACAATCTCTTCTTAAACTTGTAACAGACAACCTGCTTCACTTTCTGTTTTAATATTGGAGGTTTTATTCAATTAAAGGAAAGCATACCGCATAAGTAATTAATCTAAACCGGCTTCAGTCGAGATGAAAAATCAAGTCTCGCATTTTGACGCCCAAGCACTGAAAAATGACACAAAAAGAGGCCACTTACCGCCCATTTAATGTCAAGTGACGTGGGATATGACGTCACTGTGATATTGCGTGGAGCCCCAGTCGGCACTACAACACGATTTAAAAACAAACAGCATATTAAATGACAGTCAAGCTGAAAGATTCTTACGAACTTCAAAGTTGTATCAGTTCTACGCAGCATTATTCCCAGCTCGTTTTCCGCACTTGTCAAGGAATGACTATTTGCTCTTTACATGACCAAAGGCAAACCTGTCGATGGCTCTCATAAATGAAAAACTTCCTTGAGAAGAATTTTCCCTAGCACCTTTTACAGTCTCCCAGGTAGGAAGTTACGTAAAAAAATAATAATAACAGAAATACACAAACAAACGAAAAAGTGTCTTTGATGAGGAATGTCCTGTCCCCAAGTAAATTCCGCCGCCAACAAATTTTCCCTGACAACCCTCGTTGTCCAAAAGCTGGCACGTCAGTTTACAGAGAAGAAGACTTGCCAAGCAAAACCTTTTGGCACAAGTACTATTTACATTTCTAGCATAACACGTTACACTTACACGCAAGACGAGTTGTAACAGAAGAGGACGCCGCACTGTACGGACTGTTTCCCTTGTCGTTTGTGGCCATAATTCTGAACGTGTATGACTCCCCAGGAAAAAGTCCCTCCACTTTAAGGCTCCGGAGATCGTGGAGAACGTTTGCCGAGTACACCTGCCAGCCCTCGTCATTCTTGTTCAGCTGCAGGGTGAAGTACCTCAAGGGGCTCTTTGCATCTGATGTGGCTTGCCACTTTACGATTATCCATCGTTCGCCGATGTCCGAGAAATAGACCGGCAAAATGTATGGTGCATCAGGAGGTTCTGTTAAGTAAGGAAAACGTTATATTTCGAAGCATGAGAAAGAGGTTCCGGTGGAGGCCAAAAACTTATTTTTTTTGTTCTGTTTGTTAGTTTGTTTGTTTTCACCGATAAAAGAGGACACCCTTGGGCCAAATAGACATGGCGTAACCTTGCCAACTCGGAACTTTCTGTTCACGGATCGATGCCTGAAGAAAGGGCACAATCTCTTAAATGAGCAAAGGAGAGTCTGTGTCCCATAAGAGGTGTTGGTGATTGATGTATACGCGACGCAGCGACCTGCATGACCTGAACTCTAGGTCGAGAGGTCTGGGTTCGAGTCCTGGTGAGTCATTGTGTTGTGTTATTGGGCGAAACACTTTATTCTCAATTTACCTCGCTCTACCGAGGATTGTAATTAAGTGGAGGCAAACTGTCAGGGGAACCTAGCAAAATGCTAGCCGACCAGCATCATTGTCCTAACTAGGGGGGAAATGGCAACGAACTTAATCTTTGAAATAAAGTATCACCTCTGGCGGTATGAGCCACTTATAGAAGGTAAAGGTAACGTCTGTACTCCCCCTGAGAAGGATGCTAGTCCATAGCAAGGTTACCTTCTGGATGGAGAGTCACTGTGAGAGTGAAGTGTGTTGCCCAAAAACACAAATCACTGACCCGGCCCAGGTCTTAAACGCGGATCTTTTGACCTGGACTCCAGCGCACTAGACATAGGGTAACGTTCCCACACTAGTAGGTGAATCACTAGAATATACAAACCTGTTGAACCTCCAGTATAAACAACTGCCTCCGCTGGATTTTCGCTTTGACTCGTGTTAGTCAAAGCCCAAAGGTAAAAGCGATAAAACGACTGAGGATTCAAAGGGCCAGCAGTCCTCCTGAGATCGTTTCTTCCCATGGTGCTTTGCCACACATAGGGGTCAGACGCAGATGACGTATTTAGACGACATGCTGCCTTGTATCCTTGGATGACGCCGCGCGGGTACACTGGTGGGTCCCACGCTATCGTCACGGTCTCTCGACTGACGGATGTAAAACGGACACGAGAAGGGGGACCTGGACCTGAAAATGAAATAGCAAAACAGGTTACTTTGAGCTGCTTATGATGAGAGCTAGCAACTGACCATGTCCGAACTTTAAAAAAAGGGAAAAACGATCTAGGACGAATTTCTCGTCAGGACACTCTTGCTGTCGCTCATCTCATGAAAAGCATGTCCGTCGCTCAAGACTTACGCAACAAGTTAACAAATCACGTGGACAAGATCCAACCGCGTAAGATCGTGTCACTCTCTACGTAAAACATTTTCCTTAAAACGACACGATTTTCTCTTCGAGGAATTTTACACTTTAAGAGTTCTCCACCTCTCCAATATTCATTTGCGATCCTAAGGTGATTTACAAGTTTTTACCAAATTATATTGTTATATGCACTTGAGTAACTCCTGTTTGTTGTAGAGAGCCGGACTGTCGTGCGGGAGATTGAGGGCTCAAGCTCCAGACAAGACCAATACTCCGAGCCTTAAAAAATAACGGAAGGAGAGAGTGCTGCCTTTGCTATGACATCGCAAACAGTAAGACAGTAAACAATAAAACGTAGGCTCCGTCCCCTGCATCTCCTCTGTGCTGGTTAGCACGGGGGACGTTAAAGAACCCACGCACTTCTTGCAAAGAGTAGGGAACGTATCTTCTCATGTTGTGGTCTGGCCTTGTTTTGCCTACGCAGGCCCTCATTTAAACCAGTTTTAAAGCTGAATTGAGCTAGCCTGTCTTAACATCGCAAACAAATAAACAAATATGCGCTTTCTTTTGCAGTCAGCATAACCACTTTGATCTAAAATCGTTGCTCTTCCATCAACTTATCAAACACCTACCAAGTACAAAAGCGTTATCTGGTAATTTAACTTACTGGATGATAGAGTGGTGGCTCTAACTGCAGCGCTTTTTGGTCCATTTCCAATTCTTGTGTACGCAAGGATTTGGAATTCATAAGTGACAAAGCTCTCCAGTCCCGTCAGGGAGGTAGAGTACACGAGACCATTGAAGAGTTCCTTCTCTTTCTCCGTGTTTTGCTTCCCAAAAATACGGTAGTATATCTAAGAGGACATAAAAAAACGATCTCTATTTTTTGCACAAAACAGTCACTTGAAGAATTCCCAGGATACTAGAAACCCTTCCCAGATTGCAGGAAATAAAATGACCTGTACATTTTTAAAGACCACTTCACACAAACTCACTGAGTTAGTATCAAATAACATTGCTTATTACGTGTTCCTGTTGATGAGGTCGTATAAAAAAATCCACCATTTTATTATTCAGGTACTTTCAATTATGGGCATACACTTAAAAATTCAAGATGACGTTTTTAAGTATTTGAGATGCGCAGACTCGGAAAAACAAAATGAAAAAGATAAATATTAAGAGGCTTAAATTTACGGAAGAACTGCCAGGTATTTACTGCACCTTGTAACCAAGAATTACACCATTTTGTCCCACATACGGTACAGGTCCCCATCTGAGCGTAACAGATGTGGCACCTGTTACTACTGGAGTAAGACTAGTTGGCGCTGAGGACGGAGCTGAAACAAAAAGATGAAGAATTTAACCCATGACACTCGGTATCCATATTCAGCACAACACCTTTAAAACAGATATGTGAAGCAAAAAAGAAATCTTAAAGAAAGATGTTTTTCCTCCTTATCATAAGCGTGGGTCAAAGAGAAAATTCCCCTTGAGGAATCGAACCTCAGACCTTCGAATTCCGCGCTCCGATGCTCTACCACTGAGCCACAGAGACTCTATGGTGAGCAAGACTATTACGAAGTTCATATATGACACGTCCTGCATACTTCTTGGATCAGCACTGTCGATAGCGTGTTTGCAAATAGAATATGAAACATGGTTAATTTTGAGCTCGGTGAAGAAATATATATTCGTGAATTGACCCTCGTGAAAAGACGAAGAAACATCTTTCTCTATTTCTTCACCGAGCTCAAAATTTACCATCTCTCTTTTTCTATTCACCAGAAATCATAAATTCTACACATTCGGTCTCACCATCTTCTTGCGTCCAAGCCCAAGCCACCGCACTGCCATTGCTGGCTCCTTTACCATTTAGATTGTAGGACCTCACGGAGACCTTATAGCGTTTGTGTCTCAAAAGGCCTCCCGCTCTGTAGTAGTTTAATTGACTGCTTGGAAATTTATTTTCAAACGCGAAACTGGGAACTCCTTCCGGCTCAAATCGCAGTATGAATCCTATAAAGTCGCTATTCCAAGTGTCTTGGGGTGGAATCTGAAAGATGTGAGCAGATATTGTGGGATTCCCTAAGCTCTGTTCGGTCAAATAAATTCGTGCTTACTCTCTAAAAGGCAAAAAAAATCACCTCAAAGGATCACTTTTAAACTTACCTTCCACCTTAGTTCCAGTCCATCCTTCCCGAGTGGAAGCAAAGTCAAATTGCTTGGGGGAAGGGAGGGTGCTGTGGAGAAAAATAACATGGCTTCAGTTGAAAGACTGGTAAAAGTTAAGACTACGAAATAATTAAATTGACAGCAGCAACGCTACATCCGATGTGTCAAAAAGGACACCAGGATTTTTACAATAAAAGCGAACATTGAATGAAGAATGAAGGTAAAAACATTGCTATCAACAAGATTCGAGTGCATCACCCTGGCAAACTTCGGATGTGTTCTTAAAGCTAAATGTACGCTATACAATGTGCCTATTTAAGCCATTTATTGAGCTCCTATGAGGTGCAGTTTGGGCAAAACCTGTGTTAAGTGCATGTGTGGACGGAAACAACCTTGGTTGCTCAAGTATGGAAGTAAGTCAAGTTTAGTTTTTGGAAAGAGGGAGATATAAGATACCGTCGAGTTTCCTTACCAGTTTCTTGCGTTCTGATTGTATCCGTTGGGGCACTGGGGCTACTGCTTCCCACTTTGTTCCTGGCAGTGACTCGGAATCTGTAGTCTCTGTACGGTTTCAGATGCGGTAGCTCAAGAGGAAGTAAATTCCATACGAGATGAGCGTCACGAACAATCATCAGTGTCTTCCAGCTTGACGATGCTGGGTCATAGTAGGTGTCGTTGTTGTACTGTATGGTGTAGGTCAGTATAGGGGCTCTGCCAGATGATCCAGGGGTAAAATCCAATACCACCGAACGGGCCCTCACTTCTATGACCTTTAGGTTTTGTGGTGCACCAGGTTTGACTGCAAGAGAATATTTTGTCCATACGTTTTAGTCCAGTACATTAATGCTCAAACTCTCAGTGAAAAAAGTCAAGGTCTATTTCCCCCGGACGGCCAGCATTAAGTTACTTTGCCCTCTCAGTTTGTGTTATCTACTCAGTAGACTCTGTAAAACAGCTGACGCTCAAAATTCAGCTCTCTTCGCCGCAACACATCCAATATCTAAAGCCTGGTATTTTTCTTCACAAGATACGCTGAGGCATGTTTGTTAAGCCGTAAGAAAGTAAAATAAACAACATTACAATTTTCTTCCAAGATTCATATCAAAAAATTTTTGATAGCTTTTGCTTACCGGGAGATTCCGTAGTTTTCGCCACCAGTCTCTTACTCGTGCTAGCCCCCACTCGGGTCTCAGCGGACACCTCGACAACATACGCAGTATTGGCTCCTAATCCTGTCACTGTGTGTGATAAGGTGACGTTTGAGAGACGCGTCGTTTGACCGCTGCTTGGGAGAGAGTCATTTCGCCAGTGTTTTACCAAATACGCAGTAAGAATACCATTCAGTCGTAGAGGTGGGTCCCAGCTCACTCTCAAAGCGTCCGCGTAGACCTCGGAGATTGTGAACGACCGAGGCGCGTCTGGAACTGTGGGAGGATAAAATAATTATCAATTGTTGCCATGTTTATACAAAATGCTATAAGCACTAACAGCCAGTATCTCTCAATCAAACACGCAATATATTGTCTTCATCTCAATAAATGTTTCAAACATTAAGTGAACGTACCTCCTTCCTCGGTCTTGATAAGTTTAGTATCAGACCTCGGACTGTCTCCTGCGCCATTGTAGGCTACTATAGCTATAGTGTACTGAGTGAATTTCTCCAGTCCGCTCAGGATTCCCTTCTGAATAGCTGCCGTGTCGTCATGATCAGCTACCCGCTGGTAGATATTGCTGGGTGTGCTTCCCTTCCAAGCTTGGAGCTGTGGGGAAAAAAAAAAGTACATGCAGAAAGGGTGTAAGATCGGGCCCCTCGATGAACGAAAGATAGAAAGAAACTTGAAATATTTGCTGAGTTACAGAGATCTCGTTTTGTGTTACGCCATACACCAATGAAAATTGGCAAATGTTCTACCTGCTGAGAACACGAAATACCTTGTATCCTTTTATTCTTCCATTTTGTTGCTTTTGAGGTGGAGGTTTCCATTCTAAATATACACTGACTGTAGTAATGTTAATCACGTTCACTTCCTGTGGTGGAGCTGTTGGTACTGCAACAACATGTAATAGAGTAATTAGCAAATGCAGCCAAATTACAACTAGTCAGGATGGGTGAAAGCGTTCGAATCCATTTTATAAAGGTCCCTTTTTTTTCGGCAATTTTGGCTAATTTTGAAATGAAGGCCATAAGAGTGGTGAATGTAATTTAGGCATTAGCTGATCTGAACAGACAGTGCTATGAAATCACAGAATTCCTTTTAAAAACAGAACGGTCTCGCCAGCCAGTTCTGGTGTTTGCAAATCTCTGCACCAAATATATATATAACTATCATAATGTAGAGTTGGAAATGCTATTCACTGGACGAGAAAGTTCTAACAGATGCGAACACGTAAGAACGGTCAGAATCAAAAGCCATGTAAAACTTACGCCCTTCTGCTGTGGTGACTGTGATTGGTTGACTGTACACCCCGTCTCCTGCGTCATTATAAGCCCGCACTTTAATCTCGTACGTAGTCCACTGCAGAAGTCCGTCGATGCTGCCCTGAGTAGCAGATGAAATTGCAATCTTTCTTATAATGAAGCTACTCGCTGAAACGCCAGCCAGACGGTAAGCGATTTTGAAACCACGCAACGGACCATTGTGTGTTTCAGGAGGAGGAATCTGAAAACGGAAATTAAAATAATGACATTTTTAATGAAAATTGTACAAGCTGTAAATAAAAAGTTCAGTTAAAAAGACGAATATTTTTTTAAGTATGCAAACAGGCTGAAGACACTCACTTGCCACTGCACGAGTATAGAATCAGCGCTTGTTGGAGCTCCACTGACGCTTTGTGGAGCTGCAGACGGCGCTGAAAGAAAGATAGGAGAGATCTTGGTTTACAAAAGTTCTGATCTTTCCTTGTGATTACCATGACAATAGGGTGAAGTCGGTAAATCGAGCAGCTTTTGTATAATTTTCACGGCTTACGTTTAACTGTCAAAATTGAAGAAACCAACAGATCCAAAGGATGGTTTCCCCAAAACAAAGAAGAAAGAACCGGCCATATTCTGTTACCTGATATCAGTGTCCTTATCACTCCGGACGCGCCACTGGGTGCACCATCTCCGACTTGATTGACAGCTCTCACGCGGAATTGGTACTGAGTATGCGGCGAAAGACTACGGACAATGACTGACATCTGTCTATCAGAAGGATTGATGTCATCCCTGGCAAGTTGCCAGTTGTTGGAGCCCTTCTTGGCTTCGATTTTGTAAGATGTGATGGGGCTGTTACCACTATAATCCGGTGGAAACCACGATAAGCGAACTGAAGTCGTCTTGATGTCACTTACCACTGGGGTAGTGGGTGCGAGCGGTATCTCTAGAAAATACAGAAAAGTCTGTGAGCATTTTTAAGCGGGAAAACATAGCTCCTCGGGATGAAATTGCTTTCAAGCAGTTCCCCATAAACAAAACGGGAATACTTTGAGGAAAACGTACAAAATCGTGATGAATGGCAATTAATTTTTTTGACGACCAAAGAGATGTTCTAAATAAACTAATTCAGCGTATGGTGCCCTTGGAATAAACGTGAAGGGGAAATTGTGCGTTGATCGATGATCAGGAACTCTCATGGCTCAACCAGCTTACGACATGATACATTTCCCTTTATTAGCTTTTGCATTCGCAAATGAAGATAACTTAGGCATGTTGGGAGCATAAAAGTGAGCCAAGGAAAACGGATAAAACAATGCGGGGAAAAATAACTCAGCTTCTCAATTTCTTTTCCTGAGTTATAACCAAAACAAGAGAAAACGATGAAAAGTTACCGAGAACGCTCAACTGTCCTGTAGTGCTGGCGTTTCCCGCCTCAGACTGTACCAAACACGTGTACGACCCAGCATCCCCCTGCTGCACAGTGAGTATGCGTAGTGTTCCATCACTTTGAACCTTCATCCGGGATACATCGACTGTAGATCCATCTTTGGTCCAAATCCACTTGACTGATATATCCGGGTCTTTTTGGACCCCACACGGAAGAAGTTTATCAATTCCTTTGATAGCGTCTATTTGACTTGGTAACGGATTGACGATCACAGTTTTGACTGCAATAAACAAACAGAAGTAGTTTTCATTGGATAGTTAAAACAGAAAGATTGCTGCAAAACTTTTCAACGATCGTAGCGATCATGAAATACATATTAAGATTAAACTTACTTAACACTCTAAGAGAAGCGTTTGCCCTCTTGGAGCCAATGCTGTTGGTTGCTATACACGTGTATTTTCCACTGTCACTCTTCTGACTTCTGCTAATCTGCAGTGAACCAGAAGACTTCTGAAAGTATCGAGGATTATTGGCGAAGTTGATGTTTTGGTCATTTTTCTGCCAGGTTATTGTTGGCGATGGATTTCCACGGCCCACACATTCTAACTCCACTGTGTCATTAACCACAGCGTCTGTGTTCTTTGGTGGAACATCTATCCATACAGGTAATTCTGCAAAATACAACGCATTTAAAAATATTAACTGAATCCCAATCATCAATTATTAAATAACTTTCCCCAACAGTCGCAACTAACATCGTTCCCCTTGGCCATGGTACCAGGCATACAGGCGAATTGCTGCGCCGACTAGATGCCACAACCCAACCCCCACAGTAATCAGACAGAGACAATAACGGCAAAATCGTCAGCACGGATACTTCAGTCACAGCTCCACTCTTATACAACTGGGTAGAGAATGACTCGCAGTGAAAACCCAAGTTGCTTAGCGTAAGCTGAACTTAAACATGTGGCGGCTTATCAGTTACTTTTTAAATCTAGCAGTCTGACCAGCGAGCTTTACGCAGGCCTTAGAAATCATGAGAGCTTGGATAACAGTCCTGGGCCTAAGTATTCAAAGGATGGATAGCGCTATCCGACGGATAAATTGCTATGCAACGGATAAATCGCTATCCAGCGGATAGGTGTTCACAAAACGTTCTGCCATATCCAACGGATAGAGATTTATCCAGTGTCGGGATAGCCGGCGTTATCATCCACCCTTGGATAACCTGGTTGATTTTTTCTTATAAAGGTCTATCACAGGAAAATACCAGATACACTTCTTACCTTTTACACGCAACAAAGCTTTGCTCAGTATCTCGCCAGCATCGTTGGTTGCCGCGCACTGAACACTTCCTTTGTCGCCCGATTGAAGACTTATAAATGTCAGGTCAGTTTTACTGTTTATCTGGATCCTTCCTGTGGTCGAAGGTGGAACTTTTTGGCCATTGTGAAACCAAGTAATCTCTGGTGTTGGAGTGCCAGTCGCACTGCATTTAAAAGTCACTGATTCTTGAGGATACTTATCCGCCATCGTTGGGGTGACTGTAAACGTTGGCATAACTACCAAAGAAACGAAATGAATTTTTGTATTTAATATATTAAAAACTGATGAGAATCCAATTGAACAAGTTTCAATTGACTGCCGAGAGAAATACGCACTAGCGTTGGTTTTGATTTACGATGGTCTCTGATTGGTCAAACAAAAACTCTTGCCACCCTCTCAATCAACCAGATACAAAACTAAATCTAAAAGTGACTTGGTCACTCTGAACTCCAATAGGCTCCTTAAAACATTTTCTCTTTGTTCTGGTTGGCTGTTGCGGTCAGTCTGGTTGAGATTTTGGCCTTACAACACTCAGTCCAATAAACTCTGATAGTTACATTTTAGTAAATAAAAAATAAAATTGAACTGCATTTTTTTCATGCTTACCAATTATTGTCAAGTTTGCACTCTTGGTTTTAAAGACATTTCTGCTGTTAGTTACTCGACATTCGTAGACTCCTTCATCAGATACAGCTGGATTGTGAACAGTGAGTCTCTTCTTGAATGTGTCAAAAGAAAATTTTGCACTCTGAGAAATCACTTGCCCGGCCTTTCTCCAGGATATCGAGGGCATAGGACTGAAGTATGAACAGCAAATAAAATACACAATAACATTATTTTAAAAATGCAGAAAAAAGCAATTCAAAATTGAAGAAAAGACATTAAGACAATAAGTAGTGGACCTCACTTCTTGAAGTCAGTCAATGTCAACTACTTGTATCTCCAGTTCCCAAAATTTAAATCAACTCTAGTTTTAACTCTTTAACTCTTTAACTCCCACATGTGATTAACAAGTTATTTCTCCCCATAATGTCTCTTCATCATCCAGCAAACAGGTAATGAGAATACCCCAACTTATCAGGTAGAAGTTGTTATCTTAATCTAAAACAAAATTCTCATAATTGATATACTGGAAAATGGTTGGCACCTAGAGGGGAGAATTAACAATTGATCTTGGGAGCAATAGGGTTTAGTAAGCTCTGGAGCCATTCTGGAAATTTCTGTTCGATAGGTTTGCCTATCATAAACATTAAATTAGACATAAATCTTCACCTTCCACTTGCAAAGCACTCAAATGTAACACTGTTTGTCTTTCCCGCTGTAGCTCTCTGATTTGCGGGGCCAAGAATGATATATGGTGTATCAGGTATGTTTCCCCTTGCTGCAAACAATATATTATATGTTATTGGTTATATATTATCAGAAGTGGTAAATTTTTTTTCTCTTTCATAGCTGAAAATTTGCCATCTTTCATACTTTAGTTTCTGATATTTTTCTGTTTCCCTCATTTTGAAGGTGATTACCTTACTTTTTCAAAAATAGGACTTGAAATAACATAACATCTAATTCAAGTCATTAAACATTTTGTCATGAATTAAATAAACCCATTAACCCTTTGTATTGGTGACTCCCATGAGTGACTAACACAGAATTTCTCCTTACAATATCAAGCAGGAAAGTAATGAGAATAAAGAAAAATATCTATTGAGGATTTCTAAGTTGATCCAATACCAAATTCTTTAAACTACACCATAAGAATTGTGTGGCAGAGAGTAAGGAGAATCACTAAGTAAATGATGGGAGTGAAAGAGTCAAAAGGGTCCAAATTTCTCTGGTGAGAGAGAAAACATTTTCATCTGAAACCTAATTGAAACATGTGTGTATGTACAAGATTACTCACCTGTCACACTCACTGTTAGCGGACCTCTACTAAATGACTGGCCTCCATTCTCAACCCTCGAGTAGTAGTTACCTACATCATTTACTTCCACATTTCCAATATAAATGTTTCCTTCAGTAGAAAAACTGATGCGTTGTGTCTCAGACATAGAGCTGCCACTTTTAGTCCACGTAATTGTAGGCTTTGGAAAACTTTTTATAACAGGGTATTCATAGGTGAATTCACCCCCCTGCAGTACTCTGAGACTTACACTGGTATCAACATTTGGTGTTTTTTCTAGAACTGTTGGGAAGAGAAATTGAAAATCAAAAATTTATGACAGAAGTGAAGCAATCAAACAAAACTGAATCAAATCAAGGGAAATTAGAGAAGAACTCTAGAGCTCTGATCTACAATTATTGTAATTTTCCTTCACTTCCTTCAAAATAAAAATTCCTTGGAAATATGTTGTTTGAAAGGTAAATGAATAAAGAGGGTAACTATAAAATTTCTAAAAAAATTGCAGAATTACACTGGTGGGGTGATTTACATGATAACTTGATTTTAATAACTGAGTTGATAAATAAATATAAATTGGTCATCATAACAAATAAGTTTCTAAAGCTGATGTTGCAATCATTAGCTTCATCAGAGCAAAGGCAGTGACACACAGCCATTTCATTTTCAGGTCGACAGCATGCCTTCACCCTTTAACTCCCATGAGTGACCAAGACAGAATTTCTCCTTACAAAAATCAATGCAATATCAACCAGACAAGTTATGAGAGTAAATAAGAGAACTATCAATTTGGAGATAATTAGTTTATCTAAATTCTCTGAACTAACATTATAAGAATTGTATGGTTGACAGTAAGGAGAATTACAAATTTGGTCTGGGAGTTAAAGGGTTAACAAACTAAACACACATACTTCATAAATCTACGGTAAGTTGTAATAATTAAGCCACTTACATGAAACTTGGATTTTTAATCTTGTTGATCTTGTTCTTCCAGCTGGATTCCTTGCTACACAATAGTAATAACCATCATCTAGAGTATGATTCAGTCTGTTTATAACAAGCTGACCTGTGCTTGGTTGCTGACTGTGTCTAATTGATGAAACATCCTTGGCATTACCCTCAAAATCTGTTGCAAACCACTGGTAGGTAAGGGGTGTGTTGCCTGTAGCTGAACAATGAAGTGTCACCCTGCCCCCTTCATAAAAGCTCACAGGAGTTTTTGTCACACTGGAAATGGTTGGAGGGTTTTCTGAAGGAAGACAAAAAATACTCATTTGTTGTAGTATTTCATCAGAGAGAATCAATGAGACAAGTAAATTTATGAATTTTAATAGCAGAAAAATGTTCCAAACATCACTAGAAAACATGAAAATACACATAGCAAAACCCCTTCAGATTTGACCCCCTATCTTGTGTACTAAATATTCTTCTGCTGATTCCTAAGCTAAGACATGGCAGCTTGAAAGAATGTTCATCTCATCAGCTATTTTTCAGAACTTTTTTTCACTTGTCTTTGCAATTTTTGACGTACCCTTATAGCTGAAACAGAATGTATTCTTAAAAGTTTTGAGAAAACTGAATAAAATAAATTACATGCTAGAGTGCACTTATCTCTTAAGATAACAATGCCTAGACCTATGCAATAATAAATGGACACATGACTGAATCCTGTCAGAGAATAACCGGTGACACAATTTTGCTTATGCTTTCAGCAAGTATTTATAAGCAATGTTAATAAAACTGATTTGAATTTAGAGAGGGTGCAGAACATAATGTGAGTCAGCTGAACATGCATCTGACCACAAAGAATGACTGCTATGCATGATTTTCTCTCAGTTTGGCTAACTATAAAGATATATTGCAGAGCTATGACATAATCATGTTTTCGTTTCCAACATTCTCATATCTTTCACAAAAAGATCTTTTAATAATGATATTATTGCAACTTGTTGTAACTAAATATCACATTTATTTTAAACTTTAGAACTGGAGAGATAATTGAGCTTCATTGACCTCTAGATATCCTCTTAAACTCTTCACTAAGGGAAGTGTTTCTCATACCAATTTATTGACATGCATGTTACTCAGCACTTATGGAAGTCCGCAACAATCTGTATCACACGCGATTCCCATTGACACAAAAACTTTAGTTAAATCAAAAGAAGTCAATATACTGTAGTCTTCAAAAGACACCTTACCAATTGATAGACTGTTATAAAAATTACAGTAAGATGAAAAAGATTGAAAGAGTCCCTGTTAGACAAAGCATGACTACAAATTATCAGATATTAGTTAGTCAATGATCTGTAGCTTACAAGCTACAAAGGGTTTATAACCATACACTTCAAGGTTTTAGACAATTAAAAGCCACTTACATTAACTATAACATGTTCAAATAACTGACTACAGCCAAAAAACAGGGAGAAAATTATTTAATAAGTAATATCACACCTTTAACTAACAGAACCAACCCGTCATTGCACACAAAATAAATTGATTTATGAACTAAATTGATAAATGTAAATTGGCCACGTCAAGATCTTCTAGAGCTGACGTTTTGAGTGTCAGCCCTTTGTCAGAGTGATTTTACCAATAGATTATTTTAACCAGGCAAATTTTTCTAAACAATTCAGTCTGGACTTGGCTTCTTCCACAAATCTTAAAGTCCAGACGAAAATAAGCAAGCATGTTAATTAATAATTTTGTCACAAGACAAAATCAATTAATTAGGCTTGGAGTGAATTTTTTCACATTTCATCTTTAAAATTAAGCAATCCAACTTAATAAAACAACAACAAAAAATTATTTTAACTAATATTTGATTCGCAACTGAACTGCGTGTACTTCACGGAGTATGCATATTAACAAAGAAATATCAGGGATGCTAATTTTAAAATTTTAAAAGGATCAGTGAACTAACTATTTTACATCTTTGTAAGGTATAAAATCTTGAAAATATCTTAATGACTTCACAGAAAGCTCCTCACAAATAGAAGAGAACCAAGCCGAACCATTTCCACGTTGTGTAATTGGCATCCAAGACAGACTGGTCTGATAAAGATCTGCATTACATATCTAACGGATGTACTTTTTATATTTTGTTCATTTTGAGATTGAAGTGCCATGCAGAGAGGCAAATACTTTATTAAGAAAGTCAAGCTTTATTTCTGCTTTTCTCTCATGACGATATCTAAGAAGGGTCTCTTTGAGTCTCTTTGTGACCTGATTAAACTGCACCAGTTCCCGACGATATACAGTTCACATATCCTCCATCACAAACACAGACAACAATAGTTGTGCGATTATAAATTTTGTTATTGTGTAGCTGCGTTAAAATCAGCCTTAAAATCGACACCTTTAAAATAGAAACCAACATTTCCCGTCTTTCTTACTCCGTCTGATGTCTGAAGCGCAAGAAAGCATCACGCGATATCATGAGGTGTCAGAACGAATATTTTGTGCAGCAGCTGTAGTGGCAACTACAAGGGGTAACAATGCACATAACCGCTACTATTTGCCACGATTCATTTGACACAAATTCTTTTCAGAAAATTCGTAAATCTTCTTAAGAAGGATTACTTTCTCAGACCAGATATTATATAAATACATCAAGAAACGTGGGCGAGCATAACTTCGTAGCTACACTGTATTTTTCAGCAAAAAGACGAACTCCTTGAATATATTTAAATTTCAATTTACCTCCAACTGTTATGGATAGAAAAAGAGATTTTCGAGCTGAGATTGAAAAACCGAGGCCTTTAAGAGTTTTTAAAGGCCAAAATTTGATGAAAACGCCATCTCAGTGGTAAGCTTACTAGTAACTTCAAAATTCGATCGCGTTAATATCTGTAATGAGGTTTGTTTCCACCGCGAGGCGAATCACGCGAAGGATTAGTATTGAAGACTTCACTCGCTTTGCGCACTACACCGATCTCTAAAGTCAAAACGACGTCAAAAAAAAAAGGAAATGAAAAAAAGGGACAAATAAAAGAGGGCACAGTTTGCTTTTGAATTTTTATGTTTTCTCCAAGTGTCAAACGAACACAGTAATACGACATAGCCATTCAAAAAGTCTCATATCACAAATTATGCAAATACTGCTCTCTGTTATGAGGTTTCATTTGTACTTTCAGCTGAACTTTAAAGAAAATGAAGGATGGAAAATTTGACGTCTATGAACTTATCTATTACCTACATTTTCGTTTTAAGGCGATCGCTAAAAAAAAGACTTAATTTGATTGCACAGTTGAATGGGGTAAAGAAATGACGCACATATCAACATTAGGTTACCTTAACACCAAGAATTATCTTACCTGCTTTCACCGCGATCCAACAAAGGAGACACAACAAAAGTCCACTTTGCTGGTGAATCATAGTAATCTTCAATCAATGTAAGGTTGAAAATAAGGTTGCAGAAAGGAGCGTGTTTTCCATCAACAAGAAACAGTGGAAGCAGGCATCGTACTTAATATAGAACAAATGTTTCGAAACCAATTAGGGCTTTCTTCCCGCGTTATCCTTCCGAAAGCACAAAAGTCTCGTAGATCGCACGAAGAACAAACGCAGTTTTCAACTTTTAGCGAAGTAGAAGTAAAGAGCTATGACTTCTCCCAGATTAACGAAAATAGAAATTTCCACACAGGAGATCAATACAAAAGTTGACAAAGTGCAGTCGATCGATCGATCGTTCCAAGAAATCAAATCGCTTGAGATTCTAAACTGTCAATCGATGATTTGCGATTCTTTCCTGTTAGAGGTCGCTCGTATTGCGGTTATGACACTCAATATAACAATATAGTGGATGTCTACACATTTCGGAAATTTCCTTCCTCCAGAATTATTTTTAAAGAGATTCAAACTTTCAAACGGAAACCACCAACAACACTATGACCCATTCACAAAGCACAACAAAAGCTAGGGGTCACGTGGATTATACTGAGTGTTGGGATTGGTTAATTATTAAAAAATATGGTTTCACGGTTTGACGACTTGGAACAATTAAAGGATTATATGACAATCAAAACGCCGAGCTTTTCCATTGTACCTTGGAAAAACAAAATATTTACATTTGAATGGAATAAAACCGTGCATCCAATATATAACACATTAAAAGCATTTGATAGCTTCTCAAGATATTGAAATTAGGGACTTTAGAGGCGGAATTTCGTGGCAAAGATTGTTATTTTGTTTCAAGAAACTATTAGTGATTGGGGAAATGCCATGTGATGAAAGTACTCCAGACGAAGTCAGCCCTATTTCTGATTTAATTCGACACTAGACGCGCACGCGAACTGAGCAAGTCGTTAATTACTCTCGCTGACTGCTTCCAGGTGGGCGTACATTTCTCCGTTTGTAAGGACCTCTATTGTTTATGCGATGAGACTTCGGCTTGAGGAATAATTTAGTTGATACAGAAAGCATCAACGGACCCCATACAGAGCCGGCCCCTTTAACCTTTAAATTCTAAGTATAACGTCAGGCACAGTTTATTGTTTTTGCAATTTGTTTCCATCCGCGATAAGAAAATATTCCTGGGAAAAAATCATCAGACCGTTAATTAAGATTGAATTGATTACCTGCAAGACTATTTTTACAAACAGTTACCTTTCAAAACAAAACTTATGCGTCAGAAAGAAATCAAATTTTTGAGATCGTCGAAGTATGTGAAATGTCAACGACCCGAGGTTGTTTTGGAATCGCGCTCAAGATGAAGGTTTCTTAAAGCAAAGCCGAACAAATCAAATAGGCCCTTTGGAAATGGAGAACAAAGATTCAATAAGTAACTGTGCCCACGGATTGATTCAAAGAAACGCCCAGATTAGCAATTTAATCGCTCCCAAGGACGTGCACACTTTGCTTGTATCTTGAAGTGCGACACAAGACTTTTTCTTCTGTTAAGCGTGCCAGCAGTATGGAGGTTTAACAAAAGTTGTGAGAATCCTGATGATAATACGTGCAAACAAAATCAGCCTGGATGTCCGCTTTCGGAATGGTTTCGAAAAATTAGGGAAGCAGATTTGAGCAAACTTGCGAATAAATTCATTTGATAGGTTCCTCTCATGCACCCGGATTCCTCTTCTGGTTCCATTCCAGCGGTTCCAAGGCAAAAAATCGTAAGCCTGGTTTGACTCTTTAACGTCGCGATGTTTTGCGACGTTTTTCTGACCAGAAAGATTCCCTTGATTTCGGAAACGAACCTCGGTAAACAAGGGTGTTATAGTTAGGGTATAAAAATGTCATGGGTAGTAATTGACCAGAATTTGCCGAAACGAAACCGGAATGGCTAGAGACGACATTGCATTTTTCAAAATGAAGTGCTTGAGCTGTTTCATTACCCCCCTTCCATTCCCCAGATCTAATTCTCAATTCTCCGCAGTTTTTTCACGTGAATTCTTAGGGATTTCAGTTCTGGGAATTTGACGTTTCATCAAGTAATGTCCCTTAGCTTATATTTTTCTTCCAAATTCCTTTCTGCTTGAAAACATGTCGATTTTTTGCGAAGAATTGATCACTCCCAGGAGTGAAATACTTACAAGGATGGACAGAATGCCCGAAGCTCATTTTCTATAGTCGAATAAAACCAGCTGCATCCACTGGCCAAGCTCTATCAAAATATAAACAAGACGCCTTGTATCTGTGAATCGATCGAGCCCTTAATCTGGGAGAATACGACCTATTTTCACCATCCTTTTTGCGATATCTTATTCATAGCCGGTTCTGTAGGTAAATCTTAAACATCAGTGACTAAGGTCATTAAGAAATTTTCATTGACACTGTGCTGGGATAAAACAGCATCAACGACAGTGTCTGATCTGTTTTTCTTTTGTTTTCTTTATTAAGAGGGCCGACATCTGCCTGATGGGCGTATGAGGGGGAGTAAGTATAGGGATTGGAGCTACCAACTGATTTGTATTGAAAACTGATGAGGTTGTGAAGGAAGAAAACGAAGGATGGAAGTCACCAGGATGTCATTCAATTTCAAAATGAGGCGGATAAAATGGCCTCCTTTAATCTTAAATAGCCAAATCTAAAGAAGTATTTCGTGCTCCCAAACTATATTTTTCAACAGTACTACCAAGTGGTCGTAATTTCTTAAGGAGTAAGTTATCTAAGTTCCTAAAGAGACTGTAAGCTGCGTAGGTGGAGGGTATTATAAGATAGCCAGTAGTCAAACATGGAAAGCGCCCTAAAGTCTGAAGAATAACGGAAATCGTTTAAACTGAAAGAGATTCATAACTGTTCGTTTTGTGTTGTAAGCGGCGGTAGGACTCTCCAGGGATTAAATTGTCAAATCCATTGATCTCAGTTTCCTGTCTTTTCTCTTTACGAATAGCAACGTGACGTGACAAAGAGTAGTGAGACAAACGATAAAATGTTCACGTTTTCTATAACATTCGGGCCATACAGACTATCATATTTTGCGTATTTGATACGCAATATTGTTTTCAAACTGCTTATCACTATCATAAAATTCTCTCGACCTCATTTTTTAAAACCTTTTCCGTCGCTATCCAGCCGTTACAATCTACTTTTTTGTCCAGAAGTTACATAACAGGAGATTTCTCCCTATGTTCCCTTTTTTCTTATTTTCATCAGAAACTTGTCAGTATTTTTTATACATAAGATTTAGTCTCCGGTCGTCGAGACAAGGAAAGCGTCTCAAAGCATGAATCTGACGAAGAATAAGCTTTCCGTCCTATTTAGACAGAGATTAAAATGGAGGCAAGATATGATGACGGTATTCAGTGCCTCGGGAATACTTTATTTATTTATTAATTCAGTTTTTCTTCATTAATTAGTTCACCTTGAGAAAGAGGCTTGAGGTTGGAAATGGCCATCTTATAACAAATCATTTGTTGAGTCACCAAGTTTGATTCGTCTCTCTCGCCTATTCGAGGCACCTTCAGAAGAAACTATTTATTTAGCCGAAATTGTGGCTGTACTGCTCACAAGGATTGAGAAACCCACAGAAATGTTGTGCTACAGACTAATCATCAGTTCATTCGCTTCATTAGTCAATGCCATAACTTCTGCAAAACACGATATCTGGTGTATTTTCCTTTTCAAAACTTGTCAGTATAACTCGATCCTGTCCTCAATTTCCTTCGAAGCCGTTTCGTGTCATCTGCAGTCGACTTCACAAGTTTTCATCCATTATTTAAGCTGAATACCCGCACAAATTAATGGAAGGTAAAACCATTGTCGAAATTTTAATAAAACCCGTCTTGCTACAATCTTGAGATGAAAAATATTAAAGCCACCTGTCATTCTTACGAGACATAAAGTGCCTTCTATCTTCTCCCATTTCAATAATTAACTCACGATAATGCGAAACCAGTTTTCTGCTTTTTTCTGCTCAGAAAGTAACAAAGTTACGCGTGTTATGCGATTGACAAGAAATTAACCGTGGCCAGATCTTTCACTAGTATTTTCACAATCACGATTTACAGTCACCGTTTTATCGCTGTTACCATCATATTTACAATATCAAAATTTTATAATTATCATATTCAGTTGTATATAAACTTTGATCTAAAATTAATAAAAATCACCCAAGTGATTTTTATCTATAACCCAACTCTCTCAATGAGTGTACAACCGTCGGTTCGATATGGAACTTATTTTATCCGCTAAGCAAAACATGTCATCTGACTTAATTCAATTCAATTGGGTTTCTCAATCCTTGTGAGCAGTGCAGCCACAATTTCGGCGAAATAAATAGTTTCTACTGAAGGTGCCTCGAATAGGCGAGAGAGACGAATCAAACTTGGTGACTCAACAAATGATTTGTTATAAGATGGCCATTTCCAACCTCAAGCCTCTTTCTCAAGGTGAACTAATTAATGAAGAAAAACTGAATTAATAAATAAATAAAGGATTCCCGAGTGCATCTGAGTGGAATTTCTTTCGCGAGATTTATTCTTCACTTTGTGCACTGTCGTGTATACATATCTTGGAATCATAGACATCAAAGGTTGTTTAATTGATGATAACAGAAAATTATTTACGATAGAAAGAGAATAACACCGATTTATTTTGGTGTTGTCGCTGATCAAATCCCTTAAAATCAGTCATGAACTTCAGCCAGGAATGAACCTCTCAATGCAAACGGATCATGAAAGAGCAAGGGAAAGCCCACAACAAGGGCTAACCCTTTCACTATCAAGATCTCTTTCAATTCTCATTTATCACTATCATGTATTTCTTATAATGTTCGTTGTGAGAATTTGTTGTTTGGTCAGACAACCTCTGCCGGTGATCGATTTCGCTCTGTTCCGTTCCCTGGCTGCTTGTAACTGTGTTGGTACCGTATGGAAAATTATGTATCGGTCACTTTTAGAGAAGAGGAGGGGAATAAAAGAAGGTTTACTTGG